ATAAAATCCCCTTTAGTAACTACAATAACTAAAACTTTACCTCATAACATATTTGAAAATCAAATCAATCATCTCCTAAGTTTATAAAAGGAATGCTATTGATTGCAATTGCATGATACATTCTTCTTCTTCCAAAACTCTTCCATAAAAAGATAAGAGAATAAGAAAATATGTACTGGCAGTTGTCAGTGAGCATATTGTAATTTCTTAAAGAAAATTTAAATAAATTTATTTTTTAGTATTTAAAGAATAGGACCTGCATTGTTTCCTTCTGGATCTTCAGATTCAGTGGCCATAAGCTTTATCAACAGATAAGAATTTACAAATTAGGCAATTATGTTAGCCTTACATTGTCATCATCATCAAGTGAAGTTGTCATCATCATCAAGTGAAGTTGTCATCGACTTTTCTGCTTTTTCTTCATCCTCATTTGGCTCCATGCAAGGATTCACAAAAACCACTCATTTATGGTCTTTATCTCCTGAAGAGGGATGAAAACTGTCCGCATATAAATAATGTGTCAATACAAGGATAAGGCTTCGTTTGGAACGCTTTCTTACTGCTTCATAAAGCAATTTTCTAGTATAAAAATTAAAATTTTTATGCTAAAAAGCTATTTTAAGAAGTAGAAAGAAGGTCGTCCCAAACGAAGCCTAAGTTCAAGGCACCATGCATTCTATGCACCTAAACATGAAAAAAATTATTTTGTGCAGACACCGGACGGTCCGTAGATCAACCAGAACGCGCCACATCACCCGGTACACAGTGGTACCGAGCACCGATACCAAGAAAAAAAGTGATGTGGCGCATTCTGCACCCGGTACACAGTGGTACCGAGCACCGATACCAAGAAAAAAAGTGATGTGGCGCGTTCTGGTTGGTCTTCGGACGCCATCCGGGTCCGCACAAAATATTTTTTTGCTAAACATGACCATTTTTATGGTTTTCCAATTTGTCTACCAATCAAAATAAGAAAACAAATGAGGAAAAAAAGCACACTGATAAAACACAGGTAAACACCATTTAGACAAGAAACTTGACGTGCTAGCTCAGCCTTTCCAAGTGCATCACAATAATTTTTGTTACTGAAAAATACTCTTTCACCAACTGAAGTCACAAAAGAAGAAAATCCTACTATGTATCTAAGAAAATCCGTCAAAAAATAAAATATTGTTGACCCACCATCTTCTCATACACTGCACTTTTCTCTTATATGTAGAGTGCCACATAAGAGATGTGCCGAAATTATGTTAGATTTCGTGGTGTGAGAAGGATTGCTCTTTAACTGGATGCTACTAGCCTGATGCTGTTGCTGCTATATGATAAGAAATATTTGAATATTTCAAGTAAATCCTAACAAGATTGATGAAAACAGCGAGAACTCTTCACAAATCTAACAGTAAAACAGTAGTTTTTTTATGGTGGAAATCAAATAACGAAAGCAAATAAGCAAGATACAATCGATCCTCAATTCGAGAGGTGGATCGTTCTCTCTCAATCCCTAGACAAATTTAGGGCCCAAGACACCAAGACAAGAACTCCGGAAATCAACCACCAAAATAAAGCATAACCCTAACCCTAAATAACTCCTAATATTTAATACAATAATTCCCTAAATCAATTCTTAATTCAAATTTCCCTCCCATGCCTAGCCGCCCCCTCTTTCTCTAACTGGCCCTTAGTGGGGCCCCTTTGATTGGGCGGCCAAAGCAGGAAAGGAGGCGGCATTAGTCCACCTCCTGTGAACGAGAGCGAGCCCTTTGGGCGGCTAGGCCGGTTTAGGCTGAACCAACCTAACACTATACAACCTTTCTACTATAAACAACAGCAGATGCGAGATCCACGATACTAAATGAGTTTTTTAATGAAAAACTGGGGGAAACCTTTTGATTAAAAATAGTCAAACATATACAAAGTTATGAAAAACAGAAATAAAAAAAAATTACAAGTGATAAGTAAACCAAAAAAGCAACTATACAGGTTAAAATAGTTGCACGAAATAGATCTGAAGGTTTGTCTGCAAGGTTAGCATCCATTTTTTCTTTATAAAATGTAGAGTTAATTTCACAAGATGATTGTCCAACCAAAAATAAGCATAATGTCCAAACAATCGTCTCTTTTTGTTTTTTGTTTTTTTTACTTAGATAAGCATATGCTGTTCCTCCCCTACCACATATTTCATAGTTGAATAGATGTCACAATATTCTCTTAATCATTCTGGTTGTAGATGCCTCCCCGATAGGCAAAAACAAATGCAATACTATCCCAAGCAACGGTAATGGGGAGGAGAGAATGAAGCCTCCCAAATATTAGATCTAAAGCCACAATTGACAAAAAAGAGAAATTCATCCCATAGTTGAGAACACACCACACAAGTTGTAGAGATAGGCATGCCCAAACTTTACTATAAACTTTACCCATGCATATGATGTAACTGAAAAGGGAAACTTTTACGGGAACCTGAATATTCCAAATCCCACTATACGAAAACATCCACTTTGTAGGGGGTCAAGATTGGAATTGAGCAAGATCCATTTGCCATTGGAGTTAAAAGTTGAAAAACTAACAGAACAAGAGAGGGGACAATGGATGCTACAAAAAGAAAGAGAGGGTCCATAAATCCATCATTTACAAATCAATTTAGATCTTGTCTTGAAGTCAATGCATTCCATGGATGTTAGTCCAATTAGGGGTGTCAATTCGGATCAACGGGTCAGGCTCGGGTCCAACCTGAGTTGACCTGGACGTAAACAGGTTGACCCAAACCTGACCCGTTTAGCTAAACGGGTGAAGATTTCCAACCCGGACCAGACCCATGCGGGTTACCGGGTTGACCCGACCCGACCCGACCCGCGAACTTGGGAACTTAGATCTGAGATCGGGATTCGGCCATGGCGCGGTTTGAGCTAGGATGAGCACTGCGCGCAGTGTGCCTGCGTGAGCAATGTGCCAATGCGAGCTTGTCGCTTGTGAGATTGAAGCGTGCCTAACGCGAGGCCGAGGTGAGACCTAGGGCTCCACCTCCGCGGTTCGAATGTTGCACGCGATCACGCGAGGCGGTTCCGCATTTCCGCGGTTCGACTGTTCGACGCGAGGCGGCTAGGGGCTGAGGGCTAGGGCGAGACCGGTCATTGGTGTTGCGGCATTGCGATTTGCGGCTCCGATGCAGACACCGGCATTGTGACTGTCGAATCAGCATATGCAGCTACGCGAGGCGGGGGTAGCCGTGTCAACTTTAGGTCAGCGGGTTGACTTGGACCCAACCCGTTTTCTAAACGGGTCAAAACTTAAAACCCAAACCTGACCTATTTGTTAAACGGATCGACCCTAACCCGAATTTTCCGGGTCGGGTTCGGGTCGGGTTGTCGGGTCAGGTCAATAATTGACACCCCTAATTCCAATAATAGCGATTGGCACCGCATCTACTCACAAGATTGATTACTAATCCATATCGTCCATAGGATTTTGCTCCAGATGATCATCCAGTTGCTGGAGATATTAATGATCCAAACTTTCAATTTGTTGGCTCTAATATAAACATTTTGTCATATAAGAGCTAGAGGACAAAAAGTTTCGAATCATTTATGCTAGAAGAAGCAAAATGGCAAGAAAATATATGGTCACTCTCCAAAAATATATCAAACTTCATATTAGAAATGTTTAAGAAGGATCCTCGACATTATTTTCTTTTGGCTCATGCTTTGTCACTATCTAGTTGGCCTTGATGGTGCATTTTATTTTTTGCTCATAAATGTGGGAACTTATTGTAATTACTTTGCGTTGTATTTTTTTATTGACTGCTAATATTTTTTAGAAGTAGTTAACAAACTCCATAAAGAGTTCAAATGATAGTTCAGAATTTGTTGGAAAATCATTCATTGGATGACAAAGTGTCATTAAAATCCTTACAAAGAATTCATTTAGAAGACCACGTGGCACCCAAATTGATGAGCTTACACTACAAAAAAAAAAAATTCAGCAGTCCTAGGAAGGAGAATCAACACTAGTGAGCACAAAATCAAAACTTTTAACTTTCATGTGGAAAAAAAATAGAAAGGGATACTTCCCAGCTCAAGAGAAAAGAACATAAAAAAAGAGAGTTGTTCTTTGTTCTGGGTAAAGGAGTTGAAAATTTCTTAGAGAAAAGTTTAACCAAAAGTAGCCCTACTACGACGACGGATGGCCCTGGAGTGCTTCACTGAAAAATTCAGCAGAGTTTGACCCATCTCACACTTTTGTAATTGAAGGCTAATAATCCATCACTTTAAGTAGAAGCTAAATGAAAATATAGTAAATAAGATAGGATAATAAATAAAACTGTCAGCATACGCTTACATGGAAGGAAAACAAAGGTAACGAAATTCAGGCTATCATTATTACCTCATTTTGTTTCATCAAATGACTCACATCTAGGGTTTCTATAGATACAATGGACTTCAATGAAAATAATTAAAGCCTGTCAGAGTACTAGGTTTGATCCTACTTAACATAGCTGGAGATTATGTCGTGGAGAAATACCAATTGGACTCTCCCATAGGCTTAAATTTTTATGTTGATAATGGATTTTAACATTGTAGTATCATACCCAACTTTGATCCCCTTTATTCTAAAATACCTAACAATTGTTCATGATTCGACCGAGATGGAGTGGTTCATACAATCTGTGATTTTGAATCTTGGCAACTTTTAATATAAAAGTTTAGGAGTGAGTGACTATCATGATAGTTCCACATGGTTGAGAGAGATGTTGGTAAATGATGCTCACTGAAATTGATTTTTTTCTTCAATGTAGAGAGCTCTATGGGTTGGGGGAGAGAGGTGGACTATTAAGGCACAGCCAAGTTTTATTTAGGTCTAACCCCACTTAATATAATTGAAAATTATGTTGATGTTTAAATACCAAGTAATTGGCTCTCTCTTAGGTTTAGGCTTTTATGTTGAACATGATTTGACTACTAGTGTATCAAGCCCAAATTTGATTCTTTTTGCTCTACACTCTCTAACATAATAACATTACAGATATTACTAAAATATCAAGAAAGTTAGCACAAGAACATGGAACAAAACTTTAAAAGCCTCAAATCAACATTGGCATGCACTTAATCAATCCACAAAATTCTAGAATTTCATTTATCCATACTTCGATCTGGACTAGTGTTCAGCAAAAGTACCTTACTTTCCAAAAAGGACAACTTCACGCAAACTACCAAATGCTAGAGAATTGCATTCCTGCTCCTGAGCTTTTCTTCAATCTAAACTCATCTTTAGTGATCAGCAAAAGTATCTTAATTACAGCTGCAACCACTTTATATGGTTGAAATTCAGTGAATAGTGTCCCTTCTAAATTCAGATTCGTCCGTATCATTGAAACCTGGGCCAGAATACGATAAATTCAAAAATCAATTATACTAGAAACTTGATTTCAACAAAAAGAAAGCACACATAATATTTAGAAAAATAATTTTTGTGCAGTAAAAGGTTAAAATTGTCGTGCTCAGCCAACACTGCTTCAAACTGCATAACACAGTGCTGGTTCCTAGCCGAAACCTAGAATCTGGCTGGTTCTTCATATGGGAGAAAAAAATTTATTAAATAGGATAATCATGTGATTTAAAAAACAATTATTAATTAAAGTTTAAATGATGTCAACGTAAGTCTTATCCCCCCAACTAAAAAAAAGAAGTTAAGAAAAATGATAGCTTAAGAGGACTAATAGCTTCAATTCATTTTATGAGATTTGGTTGCATGATTTAATATAAACGCCAATTTTATATACAAATTTTTTAACAGCATTTATCATGAAAACTAAAATAAATTGATGTTGGGCGATTGGGTCTATAAGATATTTATGATGAAAGCAGCAATTTGATTGGTATGCACTTAGGATGGTGGAAGGATTATTTGAGTAGTGGTGGAACAAGTGTTTAGAGCTTAGATAAATTTGATGTTGATACTTCTATGCTATCATATGACAAGTTTTCCTTAAAATAAAATAAGGCGGAACTTCAAATCAAAAGTTTAGGATGTTCGAAAACTAACGATAGTATTTTTGTAGATTTTAGATCATTGATTAAAGAGTTACAATATTTTTAATCTGTTTAGTCGGAACATAAAATTATCTCTCTATATTGGGATTTTGACTATAGCAACTTAGGGCTATTAAGGTGTTTATGAGGAAGAGGGATGCGAGAGAATAATTATGAGAATTTTAAAGAGGTTGGATATGTTTTTGGGTTGAGGGCAGCTAGGCTCAATGCTATATAGAGGAGATGAAATTTTTTGTTGGGAAAAATAAGGAATATTGGTGAAAAAAATAACTAAGAACTGACAAAAACCCTAGAGGATCAACCACCAAGCTTCACCAAAAAATAATTATCCACTTAGCTTTTCCACAAAAATTTTATGCAAGTATAATATTTTTATAGATAAATAAAAAAGTACAAAGCAAAGTTTTATCACTTATGTATAGGTATTTTGATGTGAAACATACATGCGAAGATGACTCTCTTAATGAATTTGCACGCTTAATTTTTAGAGCATAATAATTATATCTTTGCATGGATTTTGAACGACAAAAGAAAACATAAAGAGCGGTAAGACAAGTTTAGGCTAAACCACATGCATAGGAGTTAAGATCATAAAATAGCCAACTTAATCTACGTTGCATGCATGGATGGTTTCAACAATAAATCCCTACACTAACAATAAGACTAGTCACTACAAGATGATCTCTCACTCAACTCTTCCAACTTCTAGGCTTTAGCGGAGAGAATGACATGAACCTTCATGAATCACCTATGACCACAATTGGAAAAGCGACTAAGAGATTAAAGATTTGGAAGAGAATTTACCCAAATACTCAGAGAATACGAAGCTTCCAATTTGATCCCCAAAGCACTGGAGGAAGAGTAATCAGTGATGTCAGGGTTTGGGAACCTTGAGGACTGCGATCATTGACTTCTTGGACAGCATGGCAGCAAGAGTAGGCCACCAAACTGAGTGGGCAGCAACTGGGAACATGTAAACAGCAGCAAGTGATGGTGGGAAACTTCTTTTTGGCCCTCAAAAACTTCCAACAGCAGTTCAAACAGCAATCTGGGCGGAGGGACAGTAGTTTGCTAAGTCGGAGGAGTCTTAGACAACACCAATGGCCTCTCGGGAAAAGCCTGGCAGCCGGATTGGCCTGTTGTAGCTCTTGGACAGCCACCCGGAATCTCCCAAAGAGAAGGGAGGTGGGGGGCTCGAGAGGGAGGAGGTGGGGAAGGGGGTGGCTAGGGCTAGGTTAGGATTTGACGCAATTATTAGAAATCTGAAATTAATTTCAGATTAAGTAAAATTGGGGATGAATTTGAATTTGAATTCAAATTCTAATTGTGAGAATTAAAGTGGATGAGAAGGAATTTTGGGAGATAATTAGGGAGGCTTAATGAGGAGCTATTAATGAAATTGGAGAGAGAGAAGCATGGGAAAGGGGGCCGGCCATGTAGAGAAGGGAAAATTGTGTCCACATTCAATGAATGTGGACCAAGGCATTAATTGCAAGAGGGAATTAGAAAAACTGAAATTAATTTCAGCGTAAGTGGATTTGGAGGGAAAAAGTTTTGAAATTAAATTCAAATTTCAAATAAGGTTGAGGGATTAAATGAGCATTTAATGGGGGGAACCGCCCATCATGGGGCCGGCGGCATCATGAGGGGTGGAGGGGATTGGGGAGGGAAATATGGGAGTTTCCAAATAGGTGATGAAGATTAGGAAAGGAAATAATAAATCCAATTTGATTTATTTTGAAATTGAATTCATGATTGATACTTTCCTAATTTGGGATTCCCTTTATGGAAATAATTTGAAATTTGAATTTGAATTTCAAATGAATTCAAATTTTCCCTCTCATGCTTGAGCTAAATTAGGAAGTCATTATGGTGATTGAAATCATCATAATGAGGGGGAAATTATGAGGGGGCAAGCAGGCAGCAGCAAAGGGGAAAGGGGGCGGCTAGGTGGTGGGTTATGGCTAGGTTGGTGGGTGGGATTTATGTGGTGGAGCTAGAAGATGAATCGGGTGGAGGGGGTTAAGCCACCGGTGGTGGGGAGGTTGGAAGTGGCCGTCGATTGACTTGGGGAAAGGAAGATGAAGAACACACAAGTAAGATAGATGTAAACTAACCACGAGCAGTGGACTCTTCCAACGACTGGTGGGCCTTGCACTTGCTCACCTTGAGCTCACTCTCCCTTCTCTCTAGCTCTCATGCAAGAAGAAGAAGAAGCAAAGAAAATTTCATTAATCATTCATCATCCCAAAATACAAAACAACTAGCCTATAAATAGGTCTCATGACAAGAAAAGAAATAAAAGACTAAAATGCCTTTTGGGCTACAACACTACATGACCACCCGTAAGGGTATAACGGGAAAAGCAACAATATAAAATAAACTAGTACATAAAACATATAAATAAATAACTCAAGATCATAGTTGTTGATCTCCGATGTCCTCATCATCTTTGCTAAGCCTAGAAAACTTTGGATAATCTAAGGAGACAATAAAATATTATTACATGGATTGATGACTTGCCCTAATACAAAGTGAAAGAAAATAAAATAAATAAAATAAAATTTTAAGCTTATAAATATATAAATACATGAAAATTAGGATTGGCCAAATAAGGCAAATAGATTGGAATTAAAATCAAGTAATTTATGAAGACTTTTATCTCCTTGATTGATATGGCTCACCAACTCATCAAGGCACCTTAATTTAAACTTTTTAATTATTCTCCCGTGATTTCAAAGTGATTATGGATCATCATGGGCTTGCCTAGAGAGTTGTACATAATGAATGACTCATGACTCAAATCTTGATGCAGACCCTTTTTGTGAATTTGTTATTGGTCTTTTTCGTGGTGCTACATCACTTCTACACTACAAATAGTTGCTGCATGTGCAAACTTAAAGGAAACAAATTAAAATAGGAACAAAAGTGCACAAATACAAAATATATTAGTCATTAATAACTACAGTTTCATTCTGAAGAAGATAGCTATCCTCAAACAAACAGAACAATTTTCCTTATTCCCCCTTTTCTATGTCAAAAAAGGAACATACCATTTTCACGTCTTGCATCCTTCCATGACTGTAGTATATCGGCTGCCAATGGTACTCTTGAGGATGAATTACAAATAGCATCAGTTAGATGATCAAGCACGGACTCGGTTACAAGTGTTTCTGACCTTATATCCAAAAGAGAATCCCATTCTCTCTTTTCATTACCAACTCTCAAACTGTAGGCCACTGATTTAGACGTTTCCTGCAAGTGAACATGAACATCACAGTGTTTGGCAGGAAAAGCAAGATTTTTAACCTCTTCTTTCTCGTGAAAGGTTGAATATTCTGTTGAATTATCCAGTGATGAAGCAAGAATAGAAGTTCTAGGAGTTGCTCGTTCACAGAGAGACTCTAGTGATCTTAACAAATCGGGAATTGGTTGCTCCATCACAAGACTGCTGCTATGAAGATGGGTCAGCAGACCCTGCAGTGCATCCAAGCCGAACCGATCCTCATTTCTCTGTAAGAGACTTAACCACTTGCTTTCACTAATTTGTAGTGAAGCATGAGCCATGCCATTGAGGAGAGGGTTGACTCTCTCAAAATTTTGTTGAATAATTGTCTGACATAACATTTCAGTGAAGAGCGACAAGTGAGGTATCTCTCCTGATTCTAAGCATGTATTGAAGGCATGCTCTACTAAATGCCACTGCAAATAAATGACCATATAAATCAAGAAATTGTTCTAGAGTAATCAAAGTATGCCAAATTCAACGTCCATACAAGAAAAACGTGGAAGAAAAAAAAGCAAGGATACAATCACACGGATTCATAATCACTTGGGAGTATCAAAGCAGCAAGAGCTGCACAAAAATCAACCGAGAAAGCAGAAATAGAAGCAAACTGTTGCTTGACACATACAGTCAACTAACCAACAGCAACAAGTCTTTATCCCACTATGTGGGGTCGGCTACATGAATCTTTTTTCTCCATTGTGTCCTATTAAGAGTTAAATTCTCATTTAAATCTAATAAATAAAGGTCATTTCAAACATTTACCAAACAAGTTTTTTTAGGTCTACCTCTACCTTTCTTAACATAAGTCAAATCTAATATATCTACTTTCCTAACCGGGTCATCGTAAGGCCATCTTTTTATGTGACCAAGCCATCTAAGGCGACTCTCCCTAACCTTATCTCCCACTAGAATTACTCTAACCTTTCACGTATGTGCTCATTTTGTATCCTGTCTCTAAGAGTAAAGTCACTCATCCACCTGAGCATCTTCATCTCTACAACACTTAACTTAATATTATGCTTCTCTTTTAATGGCCAACATTTTACACCATAAAACATTGCAGGTCTAACCACCATCTTATAGAATTTCCCTTAAGTTTGAGGGGGACTTTTCTATCACACAACAAGCCCAATGCATACCTTCACTTCAACCATCCAACTTGAATTCTACTAATAATATCCCCATCTATTTCACCATCACTCTGAACAATAGACCCAAGATATCAAAAATGTGTACTCTTATTAATGACTTGAGCACTCAAAGTCATAATCCCCCCACTAGATATGTTATTACTACAATTACACTCCATATATTCAATTTTAGATCTACTCAAACGAAAGCCTTTAGACTCTAAAGTTGTCCTCCATATATAAAGTCAACTAACTGTACAAACAAATTGGGATGGGTAACAAGTCTTGTGCAGTTCTTTATTTTCTTTATTTCTGTTCCTGTATTAGGGGTATTTACGAAATTCTATTTCTATCCTATTTTACCTAAACAATTTAAGCCTATCTTATGGTAAACCTTCAGCAACTTTAGATGACCTTGGACAACTCATCATGAGATAATGGTGGATGCTGGTAGGAAGATTGAGGCTTGTTCCATCATCGATGTAATTTCCATAAACATTTGTAGGAGATTCTTATCAGAACCTTTCTTTTATCAATAAATCATACTTTGTGATATTTCTTCTATCTGATTTTGGTCATGTTAATTAGATGGTTTTAAATTTGAGAAAAAAAAGAGTATCAATGTTCATGGATCTAACTTTATTTAAGGACTTAATGCGGTCACAAGTCTTGTAGAAGAATTTTCATTTTTATGACATTTATTAACCTGAATCCCTCCTCCATAGAACTTTTTCGGCACTATACATGTTGATTTGATTTAAGCTATACTGATGATTAAATGTTCATCCCTTCATGCTTAGGGGTGTCAATTTCGGGTCACAGGTCGGGTTTGGTTCAAACTTGGAACTGACCTGGCACTATTCGGGTCAACCCGAACCCGACCCATTTTATCAAACGAATCAATTTTTTGGACCCGAACCCGACCTGATTTTTGAAACGGATTGAATTATTGAACCCGAATCCGACACGTTTCGCATCTGGGTTGACCCTAACCCGGAATTTTTGGATCGGGTTCGAGTGGGTTTTCGGGTCATGTCAAATATTGACACTCCTATTCATGCTCAACTTTTCATATTATGAGCATCCCTTGAACTAAATGTTTGGGCGCAATATTTCACGAAATTTATGATTTCAGTAAAATAGCAATGGTAATTGTGAGAGTATGCTCTCATGCTTTTTATTTTTTTGAGTATTCTCACATGTTTTTTTTTTTTTTTTTTTTTTTTTTTTTTTTTTTTTTTTTTTTTGAGTCTGCTCTCATGTAGGTATGGAATATAATGGAAAAATTAGTGTTTGTAATTAAGTCCTTTTGTATCACATTTTAAAGTCTTTCCTAGAGTTTTCATGCATCAACTAGCTATTTAAACCTTGAAGAATAAAACTGAACTAATTTATAAGGCACAACTCCACTCCAAAGTTTCTACATGCATATGAAGGGATGGTGTTGACCCCTATATCTCAAACCACACGAGAAAAGACACAAACTGATAAATAAAGCAATATGAACCTTAGCACCACATGTCACTTGAAGGGTCAAAAGACAAATCAATGTATACTTATAATAGAAATCAACAAAAAACCATGGCTAATTTATACTTGTTTACCTTTCCAGCTTTAGATGCTTCAACGAGCAACCATGAATGTTTACTCATATCCAACATGCAACCATAGAGAGCCATCTCTTTGTAGACATGCTCAAAGAACTCCCATTGACAAGCAGAAGCAGATGCCACCAGCATGGAGGTGAACGTATAAGCATCCGGCTTAAGTGCTGTAACCTCAGCTGAGGCTTCAACGCCCAAATATGCATCCTTAACGGCTTCAAATAACTGCTTTGCTTTTGCAAACATATCACTGCAGCCATAGACCTTCAGCATTGCATTTATGGTTCCAATATTAGGGGTACAATGATCTTTCATGTAGTCATAAATTGAGATGCACTCTTTGACGTATCCACCCGCAAGTGAAGCTAAGATCATACCAGTAAATGTTACTTCCAACGGTTTTGTATGAGGAAGCTTTTTCAGTTTCTCAACCTAGATATATCCAGTTAATTGCAAGTATAAATCCAGAATTATTTGCAGATAGATGCAATTAAAAAAAGCTTTACAGCCTGCTTTTCCACAAAAAAGTAGCAGTAACCTACCTCCATGGTAGCATCAAGCCACCTCCCATTATTACAAAGGCAGCAGGCTAATTCGTAATAAACACCAGGAGTTCCAATAACTCCTCTGCGCTCCATTTCTCGAACTGCTGCAACTGCTTCATCTAGTTTACCCTGTTCCCAAAAGGTTCTCACAAGAACTGCAAGAATTTAAATTTCAATGAAGAAAATTAGTCAACAAAAATCTTTTGATAAGGCCAATAATGAGTTAATGACTATAATAAAATTTGATCGTAATAACCAAAAAACATTTGAACCATAATTACCTTTGTAACTTATTGCCTTAGGAGCCAGCCTGCCTTGTTGCATTTTATCAAAAAACTTGTGGACATGGTCATACTTTCTTGCTTTCAGCATCACCTGAAGTCCAAGATATATATAAACGGTTGTAACTACTTTTTTTAGAAATCATAAAAGAAGAGCCACCCATAAAATTGATTCGAGAAAATTGCCCGTTGGATGATACATCATTCTACACCCTTCTCCTTAACTTTTTTTAATAATGGTTGTCTGTAGCAATCTGCCGGTATAAACTATCATTTCTAGTGAAGGGGGGTTAAATCTCAAATGGGTCCCCCAACTATTAGTATGTGGCCAATTTAATCCCATAATATCATATTTCTCCAATTTATTCCCTCAACTATACAAAATTGATCCAAAGTGATCTCTCAAGAACTAAATTGGGATCAGTTATGTACAACCAAGGAACTAAATTGAAATCAATTTTACATCATAGTTTCTACATAAAGAATAATTTTTTACTAGTTTTATATAATCGATGGATTATATTGGAGAGAGATGATACTTTAGGACTAAATTGACCACATGTGAATAGTCGAGAAATTATTTGGAATTTAATGTTCAGATAAAGTTAACAAAAAGAGTAAAAGTCCACCGTAGAATTAAAAGAAATCCACATATCTGATATTACAACATGCTGTTATTAAACTATGTGAATTTTCTCCAACCTTCATTCTACACAATAATATGACATCTAAGAAACATCTATGCATGCATCTTTGAAATCTTCCGATTATTGACATGTTGTACATACAAAATGATTCGAGATTGCTCCCTGTGTTGGTAGAAAAATCTGAAGTTTGTGTGGTGTAAGGCGGTGGTTAGAGGGCATTTTCACTGTAAGAGCGGGCAAATTATGTGTATCGGGTTTGAAAATTTTAAAATCAAAAGAGTTTGATGCGGACATCCAACCGTCCATGCTAATCCGGGAGGAGCTGAAGATCGACGACCGAGATCACTTTGTTTTATTTTCGTTTATTAAGTGTATTTTAATTTAGTTTTGCAATTTCACTTTTTGAGCTCCTACCCGTTCTACATTAGAGTTGTCCGATGGCTTTGAAAATTTAGAATTAAATTGATTTTAACTTAAACTTAAACTAAAACTGATCTTATGTCAACCTTGTCTATTAATATAAATCAAGACAAGTTCATGAATACTTATCTAAGGCATGTAATTTTAAATCTTTGGCTTAAATAACTTCTCTTCCCAATTAATCTTGTGAATTCGAATTGGATATATAATTCCTTAAGAGGGCGGTAGAAATGTAATTACATGATTCCAAAGAAAACCATCTTTTCGTACCATCAGAAGGCCTAGTTTTTCATACTATGGTATTTTCATTATTTGTTCACTTGCACCAATAGAAAGGTCAGCCATAGAGTTATGTGATTTTTAAATGAATTTTTATTATATAAAACTTTGAAGGCACTTTGCAAATGCACTGCAAAATATTTTTGAGGGGCCAAATTAGATTGTCAATCTCTAGTTTCATTGGAAGGGGAACTTTTCAAGCATTGTATCGCTATTCAACTTAGAGAGGCATTAAGTCATAGGCCATCACTATGCCATCCACATACAAAGGATGAGGCCAGAGCGAATTGAGATCATTATTCTATCATTTAGACAATTGTGCGAAAGGAGGCCCAAACTCTAAGACTATGTGATGTAATGGGTCGTTGGAAGAAGGAAACAGCAGGGAATAACCCAAATGTATGAGAATGTATGTTACTGTTCATTCATTTGCTACAGGACTCCATCTTATACTAACCCTATCTTCTTGATGCTCTCAAGCATCAACCTACAAAGGACTAAACAGTAAAAAGGTAAAAAGTACTAGAATAACTAACAATAGTAACTAAGGTAGTGGAGCACAAATATACCTAACAAAATACAGCATAAATGATGCTAAGATAAAATGTTCCTTAAGGCTTAGCTCTAAAGATGCACTAAATCACTATGCCGTATAGGCATAATGGATAATGGTCCATAAACTTTACTTATTTGATTAAATTTTGCTATAGGAGTCGAGAACTTATGTCAAATCTTTTTGGCAAGATTTAAGGTCAAATATTTGATGGCCGGTCTAGACGAAATAGACCTGTATGATTTGAATAGGGGTATTTTCAAGCGTTTTATCATCATGCAACTTAAAGAGATATTAGGCCACAAGCCATGTCAAAACTATTGCCCATGCACAAATGATCGAGTCATAGCGAATTATAATCATTATGCCAACACTTGGATTGAGGGTGCGAACCATATTGAATCCACTACAAACACATAAAGGATTGAGTCTTAAATAAGTAGTAGGTTATAGATCCCGTATACTCTACCCTTGTATATAAAAGATCATGTCAAGGTAAATTATTAGGGTTATGATCACTACTACTCTACCCCCATATATAAAAGATCGGGTAGAAAAGTAAACTTATGTTTTCTAGATAATTGTGTCCTCTATAACTTTTTGAGAATTTTTGATAAATTGTTTATTATTTTTTAGAGAGAAATGGGGTTATATGCCTTCGAAGTAGTGCGAGATGATTTGAAAATGGTTGAAATATTGTTTCTTTTTCGAATTTTTTTCCGTACTTTTTGTAACAATTTTTTTTTATTTCTCTTCCTTTCTTCTATTATGTTCCTTTTTAATTTCATTTTTTATTCAAAAAATCTCTCAAAATATCATCACATTCCACATCCTCTCAATTAGCTTAAGGGTGTTTGCAAGAAGTGTGATTGAGATGTTTTAGCAGAAGAATAGATTCACATGCTTTTTAAAGCGATGGCACATTTTTTAGAGCAACGTCATTTGAGTATGAGTTCCCAAGAAAAAGCATGCATGGTAATTTTGAAGCCTTTGTGATTTTTAATTTTCATATTATTGCTACACAAGTGTATTTATTGAAATGAACGTGAGATTATGCAGTTTTGCAAGTGGGCACACTTCTCAAAGAATGCATATCTTTCCTAGCGCAACTTAATTGAACTAAATTTTATTTTAAGAAAAATGTCTCACATTCAAATTTTATCAGTTATCAGCCTGCACAATTTCACGATCCTGCACATCTAGTTGCATTTTGTCCATTTGAATGTTTTTGGTACACGTTTGCATGCCATTCGATGCAATTTGAGGATTTAATTTTGTGCTTGTTAGATAGTTTATTAACACACACACATGCATCAAGACGTAATGTTAAAATGAGAGAAGGTAATGAGTGAAAAATTATTTTTAAAATTAAAACTAGATAAAATAGTTGGTAAAGTTTTTTTGGATTACCTAAATCACTAATATTTTCAAGAGAAAAATGAACTATGTATTTTGACCTTTACTTGAATATTTTTTGTTGTTTATTTTGATGACATTTTAATCAATGGCAAGATACAAGATATTTAGTGTAACTTAGGAGAGAATATGTAGTTTTACAAGCAAAAAAATTATATTCGAATATGAAGATATGTTACTTTGTATTTCCATCAGTGATATCCTTAGAATTTATTGTATCTATGAATGGAGAAGTTGTTGATTCTAACAAAGTAAAAGTGATTAATGATATGCCAAACCCTACAATGATACAATATATTTGATTTTTTAATGATTTTGCTAATTTTATAGATGATTCATTAAAAAGTTCATTAACGTTATGATTCCAATTACAAATTATCTGAAAAAAGAGTATTTAAATGAATTAAATCTACTACTTGTTATTATACTTAAATAAAAGAAAGACTTCAGCTTCGTTTGGGATAACTTTTTTACTGCTTTCTAAAGCTTCTTTTTAGTACAAAATTTTTTTAAAAACAGAGAAAAAAATGGCCAAAAACTGTCTCAAATGAAGCCTTAGCAATGTTTATGTACGTAAGTTTGATTTTAATAAGGAGTTTGAGATTTTGTGGGCTGCTTCTAAGCATTGGAGAAGTGTTGAGCCTAAAAAGGCATCTAATTGGATTCTTTTGTGAAAATTTGAATGAAACTGAACAAAAGTATTTAAATTGTTTTAGAGTTATATATTATGATGCAAGCTCTTCCATATTGAAGACATTATCTAGTACCTAAAAAAATCGTGTTTAACACTAACTATCAAGCTTTGAAATATTTGAGTTAAAAGAAAAAATTGGAACATAGACATGTCAAATGAATTGAATTTCTACAGCAATATTCTTTAGTCCTCAAACATTATGTTGGGTCTAAGAAAAAATATATTGATGTTTTGAGTAAAATTTTGTCCTTTTATATACAATATAATTTAAGGTGATTGGTTTTTAAGATGTACAAGAGTAAGCCATTTAAAAGAATTTTTGCGAGATTTACTGAGACTTAAATAATAAATAAAATTTGTTTAACAAAGGCTGCATCATAAGAGATTAGTATTTATATAAAGGTATTCACTTTTACGCTCATGATTCATTTTTTAAGGATTTTCTAATTTTAAAATAATATGCTGAGAGTATTGTTAGACAATTGTGATGACTTTGAATGGGTATTTTTGGGCAAGCATAAAAAATATTTAACATGTAATATTTCACGATATAGAACTCGTCAATCCATAGAAGTAAAAAATAAAAACCATAGTAAAATTGATAACAAAACTTTTGAACAAAAACACGTCATATTAAGCCACAACTGTAGAAAGCTTTTTAATCTGAATAAGCAAAACTAATGTCACTTTGAATGGATGTAGTTAAAAAAAAATTATTACTCTCATCTCACTGAAAATCTTTAAAGCTTCACGATGCCTCCTTTCTTTTCCAAGAACAGACAAGAGTTTTGTGAACACGAACCTAAACAAACAAACCAAAAAAAAAAAAAAACTTAGACTCGTAAAAACCTACGAAGCACTGGAAGCTCAAAGTGTAACCTGTCAACTTGATTTTTGCACTCAGAATACGCATGGAAGAATCAAAGCATAACCTGATTCTCTTTTTTTGTTATAAAAGTGAGGTTTTTTATCTTCCGGATTCAGGAATAAGGCATCTAATGAAAATCTGAACAGAATGAATAGTCCAAACAACTTACCTGCTTTTGCAATTTTTGTATTCCTGCTGATTGTATACCCATTTCACAATAGATAATGCCTGCTTCCAATTCCTAAGAGCTCCAAGCTTTTCAATTATTTCAAGCATGCACATCTCACTAAACAATAGACCTGAATGCTTCATCAACCTTGAGAACTTCCAGTCTTGTATGCTTAGATTTGTACTGCTTAGCCTGTAAAAATAGATTCATCAAATTTTGTACTTTTTATCACTATGCTGTCAGGAAAAATAACAAGATTTGTAATGGTCGTGAGAGTTATAAGCAAGAGATCAGAGAAGAAGCAAAATAAAATATAAGTACAAGCTGACCAACTTTAACACAAAGATATGTACACAACCTAAAATTTGTGCACATCATGACTACCTACTCCTCATAACATCTCCACTGTGAATTGACATGCCACCTCATCAAATTGTCACATCAAAAGGACATCTTCAAATCCTGGATGTGCCGCTTCATCGAATAATTGTGCACATCATTACTATATTTTCATCATTAAAGCACCGCAAGACCTGCTTCATGATACCATTACAATTACATTATCCCACCATCACTGCAAACCCATGAATAAGTGCCCCACAAAACTATGAGTACTTATCATAAGGGTCACTCAAGGGGTTATGTAGCCTAAGCAATAGATTGTGTAATTGACTACCAAAGCATTCTTCTAATCTCCTCCGCCAGGGCTCCACCCACAACTCTCCGATGATTACTCTTTCCTCATTAATAGAATCCTATGTTGCACCGATACACCTATTTATGAAGGCGTGTTATATCCGATACACGGATACGCCTCCGATACTCCACCGATACGTGTCGGATACACCAAAGACGTATCCAATTAAAATACTATTTAATTTTAAAAGGACACGCGTATCCGATACACGTGTCCGTTGAAAAACAAAAAGAAATCCGAAAAAAAAAAGATGCGTCGTATTTACTTCCGCGGCTGCGAGCAAAGTTCTCTCATTTCTTGAGTATGGATTTTGAGTCTCTGGATGATATGAGAATATTAGAATACTAAATCTTTTCACTTGATGAGTCCTGAATTAAAATTATGATATTTATTGAAGATGATATAGAAGTTCAAAGACAAACCACTGAAGAAGCTAATCATATCATTCCTTATATTGAATAGTTAAAATTTTATGTGCTAGACAATTTATGTTTATGCTTTTGTTGTTGAACTAGACATTTAATGCTTACTTATATTTTGATATTATAAGCTACAAGGCTACAAATGATGTTGTTGTCATTTTTTTTTTGTAATTTCAAATATTATGCTTTGATTGCTTTCTTAATTTTTATATATGATTTATAAATTATGATGTCGTGTCCGCGCCGTACCCGTATCCTGTATTTTTAAGAATTGACGTGTCCCGTATCCGTATCGCGTCGTATCCGTGTCGCCGTATCCGTATCAGTGCAACATAAATATAATCCAAGTCTCCCTAAAAGATTGGTGACTACATTTAGTAAACTTCTTAAATTCTATAGGGATCCTTCACTGAAGATTCGACAAAGACCCAAACATCAACAATTCCTCTCTTCGCTACTTCATATATAATGTAATTATTGTACTATGCACTTTACTGTGGATGTAACTACTCACCGCTATAATTTCATCTCTCCTCTCCTCTATTTCTCTAAGCGTTCTCAATGAAAGCTCCATGTATACTATGAAAAGTTGTATTTGTAATTATTTGATATCATAATGAAATACTTGTCTTGCTTGCTCAAATGGTGGATACAGGTTAGCGGACCATAATTGCAAACTTATGTACTAAAGAGCTCCGCAAGAACATAAATACCCTATCACAAGGATCACTCAAGGGTTATGAAACTAGAGCAATAGACTTCCATTAACTCCAAAACATGCTTCATGTCACCTCTACCACAACTTTAACTACAGCTAACCAAGGATTCCTCTTTCCTCATTAATAACATCCAAGCATCTGTTAAAGGTTGGTAACTACATTTAGTAGACTTCTTAAAGTCTATAGGGAACATTCATTAAAGCCTCATCAAAGACGCTAGTTCCATTGAGTCCTCTCTTCTCTACCTCTCATCTAATTTAATTATTGTAACATGAACTTAACCATCGAATATAACTCCTCCCTTCTATGATTTCATTTTCAGGGAAAGCTCTATGGACGCTCTGGATGTTGTCGTCGTATTCTTTTGCGGTCATAGCATAATACTTGTCTTGCTTATTCTGAGAGTGCATGTTAGTCAAAAGGTCATACAACTATATATTTGTATCTCTCTTCACTATCATCTCTTCTCATTTATCATGCTCATAGAGTAACAACATATAATTCCCTATCAAAACCCTTGTAAGTTCCCGTTGCTTACACCGTTCACTCATTTATTCTTGATTGACCTAGAAAAACAAGTTTCAATTGTTCACCTCTCTCTCTCTACACATACACATAAAAGTAAAGAAAACTACAGCACAATATTTTCTTATAGTTACCTATGTGAACTGCTAAAGATCCCCTTTTTCTTCTCAATTCACTCATGAAAATAAATTCCCATCATTCACCATCCACCTTCAGCATATACACACAAAAGATATTAAACAAATCCTGAACCCCAGCAGCCCCATTCTCACCTTATTAGCATATCAGAGAGAAGGGAGAAAAGGAGGGTTACTTTTCAAAATGCATAATTGAATAGTAGGGTTTAAACAACCAAAAGAATTTGCTCTGTAGTTGTGCTAGTGTCTTATCTCTTCCCGCATGAGCGGCCAACCCGCCTCCGTGTACTTCCTAAATTATCTGTTGTCGCCAAGATGAATCCTGGATGCATAGGAGATGCCTTTAAATAGAAATCCATGCCTTAAGGAAAAATCCTCAATTGATTCCTTATTAATGCATTGGAGCCAAACCTTGCCAAAATCCTTGTCTTCTTTGTATAGCTCCTGTAGTAATTCCAAACACGTGAACTTCATTTGTAATTATGTGAGGAGAACTGATATGCGGCTTAAGGCATCCGCCACTCGGTTTTGAGCACCGCTTTTGTGTTTCAACACAAAAGTAAACTTTTGTAGAAATAAGATCCACCTCGCATGCATGCGGTTGATGTTTTTTTGAGTATTAATATATTGCAGTGCCTTGTGATCACTACATAGAACAAAATCCTGGTGCAGCAAATAGTGTTCCCACTGTTTTAACGCCCTCGTCACGGCGTATAATTCTTGCTCGTACACCGACCACCTCTGCCGAGATGGGCTTAGCTTCTCGCTAAAGAACTCAATGGGTCGGCCCTCTTGAGTCAAGACGGCCCCAATTCCAAACCATAGATGCGTCAGTTTCTACAGAAAACGGCTTGTCAAAATCCGGTAAAGCCAATACCGGTGCGGATGACAAGGCTGACTTGATTGCTTTGAAGCTGGCTTGGTGTTCTTCTTCCCATTGGAATTGCTTTTGTTTCAGAATGTCAGTCAGCGGAGCTAAGATAATGCTAAATCCCTTGATAAATTTTCTGTAAAAATTTGCCAGACTATGAAAGCTCCGGATATCTGTAAATGACTTTGGTGTAGGCCACTCTACTATGGATTCGATTTTCCTTGGATCTGCACTAACACCTTCGGCAGCAATTCTGAATCCGAGAAATGATACAACATCAGTGGCAAATTCGCACTTTCCCAAATTCAAGTAAAGCTTGTTTAGTCTGAAGACTTCAAATATTTGCTTCAAGTGCTGAACATGGTCTTCCAAACTGCAGCTAAACACCAACACGTCATCAAAGTAAGCGACGCAGCTCTTGTTCAAGAAGGGCTTGAGAACTTCGTTCATCAACCTCATGAACGTCGCCGGGGCGTTGCATAAGCCGAACGGCATCACACGCCATTCGTATAATCCTTTTCTTTCGTCTTAAATGTTGTCTTCCATTCGTCTCCGGGTTTGATTCGAATTTGATGATACCCACTTTGGAGATCTAATTTGGAGAAGATTTTTGATCCTGCTAGTCTTTCTAGCATCTCATCTATCCTCAACATTGGGAATCTAAATTTAACGGTGATTTTGTTAACTGCTCTGTTGTCCACGCACATCCTCCAACTTCCGTCTTTCTTGGGTACGAGCAAAGCGGAAACTGCACACGGACTCAGGATGTGCTGAATTAGCTGTTTCTCGAGCAATTCATCCACCAATTGCTGAAGAATTCTTTGTTCTGTCGGACATAATCTATAATGCTGCAAGTTGGGAATTGTTGAGCCGGGAATCAAATCAATACGATGCTGAATGTTCCTTAAGGGCAGTAGTTCTGCTGGTAGATTAGCTGGTCCAATATCTGCATATTGCTCAACCAGATTTTTGACAGGCTTTGGAACATCACCGTGTTCAGCTGTTTCCGCTTGTTCCTTCACGACAAGCGCCATAATATGTGAGGAGTCTTTCCATGCGTGCAATAACTGATTGCCTGACACCACACACATGGAAGGCATACTGTTGTGGCCAACGGGTTCAATATCCCGATTACTGGGCAGCATTCTAAGTGTTTTTCCTTTCCATTCGAAGGTATAAGTGTTGGCTCTACAATCATGAATTGCACCAACGTCGAATTGCCATGGCCGTCCGAGAATGATATGGCATACATCCATATCGATTACGTCGCAAATGACTTCACTATCATAATTCTTTCCAATGGAAAAATGGACTCGGCAGCTATCTGTGACGGCGATTTCTACATCCTTCTTAACCCAGCTAACTTTGTTCGGGTTAGCATTCGGAGTTGTTTTAAGTTGTAGAGTTTGCACTGCCGCTTTGGAAACTACATTTTCAGTACACCCGCTGTCCACCAATAGGTTATAAACCTTCCCGTTGATTGTACATTTAGTTTTAAACAAAACGTTTCGCTGCGATCTGTCAGCTTGTCTTGGTGTCATAAGTAATTTTTGCATCACACAAATGAGAGGTTCGCCCTCATCCCCGCCCACATCTTCGTGTGAGTTTATCGTTTCCTTCTCGCCATCGTCTAACGCCGTGTCTTCTTCCACTTCAATTGTATGAAGTTGAGGCCGTGTCGGGCATTCGTTGGATTTATGCCCCTGCTGGAAACACTTGAAACATTTGATAGTCGTAGGTTTAGAGTAAGGATTTTCTTTGGACTGACCTTTGATCCTCGGTGCGGTTTTCATCTCCAAATTCTTGATGCCAGCAAGTGGAGGAAAATTTATCATTTTATGTTTACGCAATCTTTTGATTTTGAGGCTTACGCCTCAAAACGCCTTGAGGCTTACGCCTCGCCTCACGAATGAAAAACGCCTCAATTCCCGAATACGCAATTTTAAACATTGGTTTCCGATGCTCTGCCCAAAGGGCTTCAAGGCTTCGATCTTCACCGGGAGCCACCCGTCTACTGCTCTCAGCCATCTGGCTCTGATACCAAACCTGATGTAGGGTAATCTGCACAGATTGAAAACTGGGAAATAGAGGAAATGAAACCAATGGAATAGGAAGATAAAACTTCTATAACCTTTGAATAATAATCGAAAACTGACTTACTCTTTCTCCTATGGAGTATATATCTCTCCATCTAAGTATACTATAAGCAGCTAAGAAACTAAAAAGCTTACTCTAGTGATAACGGTCTAAAGCAGAAAAATAGAGCAAACAGAAAGGTAGTGGCGGACGTCCCCTGGCAACCGGCCCATGTGCCTGATACGTTGTCTATGCAGAATACTCCCACAAAGATGCTCCGCATCAATTATCCCACCATCACTGCAAACCCATGAATAAGAGCCCCACAAAACTATGAGTACTTATCATAAGGGTCACTCAAGGGGGGTTATGTAGCCTAAGCAATAGATTGTGTAATTGACTACCAAAGCATTCTTCTGATCTCCTTCGCCATGCCTCCACCCACAACTCTTCGATGATTACTCTTTCCTCATTAATAGAATCCAAGTCTCCGTAAAATATTGGAGACTAAATTTAGTAAACTTCTTAAATTCTATTGGGATCCTTCACTAAAGATTCGACAAAGACCCAAGCATCGACAATTCCTCTCTTTGCTACTTCATATCTAATGTAATTATTGTACTATGCACTTTACTACTGGATGTAACTGCTCACCACTATAATTTCATCTTTCCTCTTCTCTATTTCTCTAAGCACTCTCAATGAAAGCTCCATGAATACTATGAAAATTTGTATTTGTAATTATTTGCTATCATAATGAAATACTTTTCTTGCTTGCTCTAATGGTGGATATAGGTTAACGGATCATAATTGCAAACTTATGTACTAAAGAGCTCCGCAAGAACATAAATACCCTATCACAAGGGTCACTCAAGGGTTATGAAACTAGAGCAATAGACTGTCATTAACTCCAAAGCATGCTTCATGTCTCCTCTACCACAACTCCAACTACAGCTATCCAAAGGATTCCTCTTTCCTCATTAATAACATTCAAGAATCTGTTAAAGGTTGGCAACAACATTTAGTAAACTTCTTAAAGCCTATAGGGAACATTCATTAAAGCCTCATCAAAGACCCTAGTTCCTCTCTTCCCCACCTCTCATCTAATTTAATTATTGTACTATGAACTTAACCATCGAATATAACTCCTCCCTACTATAATTTCATTTTCAGGGAAAGCTCTGTGGATGCTCAGGATGTTGTCGTTGTATTCTTTTGCGGTCATAGCAAAATACTTGTCTTGCTTGTTCTGAGAGAGCATGTAAGTCAAAAGTCCATACAACTATATATCTTTGTCTCTATTCACTATCATCTCTTTTCCTTTATCATGCTCATAGAGTAACAACAGATAATTCCCTATCAAAACCATTGCAAGTTCCCCTTTCTTCCAACGTTCACTCATTTATTCTTGATTGACCTAGAAAAAAAGTTTCAATTGTTCACCTCTCTCACACTCTCTCTCTCTATACACACATATAAGAAAAGAAAACTACTGCACAATATTTTCTTAATAGTTACCTATCTGAACTGCTAAAGATGCCCCTTTTCTTCTCAATTCACTCATGAAAATAAATTCTCATCATTCACCATCCACCTTCAGCATATACACACAAAAGAAATTAAACAAATCCTGAACCCCAGCAGCCCCATTCTCACCTTATTAGCATATCAGAGAGAAGGGAGAAAAGGAGGGTTACTTTTCAAAATGCATAATTGAATAGTAGGGTGTAAACAATACTGGATGTTTACTAATTAACTAACTGTGCACTTATCAATTGGTAAACTATTGATGCCATAATCTATGATTTAATAAAATACTAGTGCCTACCAATATACACTAATTCAATTTAGAGGTTTTCATAACATAATTTAAAAAAAAAATTAAACTAATCAATGTTCTAATTACTCACTTCATTAATTAACAAAATAATAGTATAAAGATGATTACTTTCATTAATCATGCCATAGTGCTAATTGTGAAATATTAATCAAACACCGAATTGCATAACCAGTGGTATAATTGATGGATAACTCAACAATGATTGAATCACGAATCCATACATATCACTGCAAAAAAGCGCAGGGAACAAATTTATAAGAAAAACAGTATACCTTCGGGCCAACAACTGAATCCTCTCATCATCGCTCATTTGCTCCATAGAATGCCTCCGATTCATGGCTTTCGCCCGACTCTCCTCCCCACCAACCTCAAAACTCTCCACATCCGCATCATCAATAAACCACCTCAATATTTCCCCGTTCCTCTCTACGAGCACGTTCCTGAGCTCCTCCAAGCGCTCAACATTTAGCTTCTTCTCCAACAAACCATCAGCTTCGCTTCCTAGCTTTACCATATCGACACTACTAAGTCTCTTCCACGGCCTCCCCACAAGTTCCCGTCTTATCTCCCTCTTACTGTCGACTTCCGCCATGACGGTGCGGTACTCGGCAGTAGCGGTGCGGAAGAGCTTGTCCTCCTCCAACGCCCTCATTTGGGGCTCAGTTAGAGGAAGGTTTTCTTCTCGCTTATTTAGTTTCTTAGTACGGCGCAGGTATTTCTGTATCTCCTTCTTGCGTAGGGTGTGGAGGATTTTAGGGGTCGCGACGATGCCCTTGCGGAGAAGACGCTGCTTTATGACCTCTAGATTGGGCTCGAAGACTTTTCCATCGGAACGGGGGAGATGGGAGGCGAAGCAGCCAGAAAGCGCTGCAGGAAAGGCGTCCATGGCGGTGGCGGGGTAAGGATAGAATATATCAGAGTGGGAGTGGGAGTGGGAGTGGGAGAACGGACATGGAGATAACGAATGCCAAGGCTCGTTAACTAAGGATATACCTTCACGGTTCTTTGGATTTTTTTTATCTTTCTCCTAGTTTGCTTGAAGTTGTTCTCTTCTTCTTATTTATTTTATATTATGCTAAATATTTTATCTAATTTGATAGATAATTATTCTTCCGATTCTCATTTTAAGAGGACAACTTCTGGTAAAATTATTAGGTCCGAACATCGGACCTAGAAATAGTTCTGGATATTTAATAAAATGTTGTCATGTGGACTTTGCTTTGATTGTGCTTTGGATGTGCTTTGGACTGCGCTTTGGATGTGCTTTCACTGCATTTTACCTGTCCTTCTGGCGCTTGACTTAAAATTCCGCGAACACGTGTACATTCCACGCGTCAAATTTTTAGTGGATATCTGGACGTATCTCTATGTCCGATGTCCGGACCTAATAATTTTCCCAACTTCTGATGATAACTATGACTCTCATTTATTTTATGCTATGATGTTTTGGTATTTGGCAAAGCTTCCATTTCTAATGCTCTAAATTTAAAGAGTATTTTGAATTATTTCTCTCTTTGTTCGGACCTCTTTGTAAATCATAATAAAAGTTTAGTCGTTTTCTCTAAGAATATTTTGGTGGCGGATAGTATTTGCCATATTTTAAATCTTTCTGTTGCTCAAAGTAATACGAAATATTTGGACATTCCTATTTCTACTATTGTTTCTGATTTTCAGCCTTTGCTAAATAAAATCACTTATTTATTTTTTTAAACTGAAAGGCTAAGACCCTTTCTTTTATGGGTATGCTTCAATTTCTTAAATTTACTATTAGCAATCTTCTCTCTTATTGGATCAGGGGTCTTGACGTCCTTCCCAAATATTGCCTCAAATTCATAAGAAATGTATGCTCTTACTTTCTTTTTTATAATGATGTTATGCTAAGAATATTCATGTTATTGTATGGAAAGAAGTGTGTAAAGCAAAGTGTTTTGGGGGTCTAGGTCTTCCAGATCTTAATGCCTTATATTATGCGTACAATTGTTCTTTAATTTGGAGGATTTTAAATGGGTATTGTCTTCTGTTAGGTTGGGTTAAGCATAAATGCACTTCTTTATGAAAATCTCCATTTCATAAGGCTCTTGTTTATTTGAAATTTTTATGCTTTATTACAAGAAATTTCATATGACTTTTTATAATAGCTTTTCTAAAGTTGAATGTGTTCATATATTTGGCATAAGAGATATTTACAATTTTCTTATTATGTATGGATGGCTTTGCTTAAGAGTTTAAAAACTACTAACATTCTTTTAAAAATAAATTTAAATGTGTAATTGGCTTAGGTTTTTTGTGTTAAAGCTGACAAAACACATAATCATCTTTTTTTTTATTATAAGGAATATTAAGGATAATATTTCTTTTAATATTAATTCTAATAGCACTTCTTCCTTCTATTGGGACCCATTGCTGTGGACTTAAGGCTTGAGTTTGATATTAATATTAGCTCTTCTTTGTATTCAGTTCCTATAAAGGATTTTATTAGTAATGGCAGTTGGTTTGTCCTGGATAATTTCATATGGCTTTTTATAATAGCTTTTTTAAAGTTGAATGGTGTTCATATATTTGGCATAAGAGATATTTACAATTTTCTTATTATGTATGGATGGCTTTGCTTAAGAGTTTAAAAACTACTAACATTCTTTTAAAAATAAATTTAAATGTGTAATTGGCTTAGGTTTTTTGTGTTAAAGCTGACAAAACACATAATCATCTTTTTTTTTTTAATGTGAGCTTTCATTTTTAATTATTTTAGAATTGATTTCTAATTTGAAGCACTTCTTGCTTAGGTCTACTCTTATTCAAGTCTTTGACTTTATATCTGCTTTATATTTGGCTTAGGATGCTAATTATTTATTCTTCCTTGCTACTTGTTATACTTTATATTTTTGGTTGAGAGAAAAGAATGAGAGGAGACATGTAGGTTAGCTTAAAGCTTTGTTTTGATTTTTAGGTTGGTAAAACAAGCTATTTTTTCTAAGACTTCTTCTTAGAATTCCTATCATGAGATTAAATTTTTAATTCCTTAAGCGTTAGTTTTGTTCTTGGTTGGCTGGATTTTTCTTCTTCTTCCCATGGGTTGGAGGGGTTAGCTTTTTGTTGGCTATTTTAGTTCAAGCTTTTCTTCCTTTTTGCTGGTGGCTTTTTGGATGCATGCCTCTGGTTGTGCATGGTGTTGGTTTTGTTTAGTTTCATGGAGTGGTGTTCTCTTGGATTTTGGTTTCTTGTTTTGCTACTGGCTGCTTGGTTCTTCTAATTCTCTTTTCGTTGGTTGGAATTATTCCTTTTGTTGGAGGTTTTGTGGATAGGTGCAAGTTTTGTTGAGTGTTTAGTTTGGTTTAATTCTTGCAGGCTTGTTTGGGATTTCGAGGTTGTATCGATTTGAGTTGTGATATATATTGTAACAACCATAAGTTTTATAAAATGATTTAAAAAAAATAATAATAAAATGTTGCATGTGGTGCTAGCTTTGGTGCTAGAAATCGCCTCCACGACATTGAAGGCTCTGTTCTACATTAACTCTAGATTGACATGCAGTGCGACGACATTGGGGCTCAGGCACCACGGTGCTCGACGCTAAAATGAGTTTTTAATATATTTAAATATAAATATCACTTAACATCAAGTCATCCTTCCCTCATTTTTTTGCCTCACTCAGAAGGAAAGAAAGGAGTAAAGAAGGGAGAGAGGAGACTTTCGCTGCTTATTTATCTGTCACTTTTATTATAAAAAGTATTCTGATCACATAGGAGAGTGTTTGGGCTAATCCAAACAAAGTTTGAGGCAACACAAATTATTTCTAGAGAAAATATAACGAATGAAATCAGGTTTCTCAAAGTGAGGGCATGGGCAGTTCTCCCCATATAGGTGGTTCAATCACACACATTGTGCTATCACGATTTAATGTAAATCCAACCAAACGCTTTCCACACAACTGTAAATCCCGTGAATCTGTAAATCCAGGATTTAAGAAATAAATATCGACAAATCCTTGTAAATCCTAATCCCATGCTTCGGCAGATTTAACGCGATTTATGGTTGCTCAAAATTTCCTCCCTCGATGCCCTTGTCACCAAACTCACGTGAACTTCTCATCTAGATGGAAGATGCAGCTTCGCCCTCATCCCTTGCCCTAGCCGCTTCGGTAGCATTCCCACCGGATCCCTCTCAACGTTGCGTAGGTAGCCCCGACCACCGAAATATTTTTTTTTCTTATTCATGTGCTCAACAAATACCTAAAATAGATATAAACTCAGCTCTTAGTACAGTGTTGCCACTTGTTTTCATAATTTGAGACCGTAATTTCATGATATGCAGTATAAAAATATTCATCATTATGACCAATTTTTTTGTATAGTTTTTAGTAACTTCTTTTATTTTCCCTCTTGTTTATTTAACTGTTCAGTAGATTAATACTATACTTTTAAGTTGAAAGACATCTTCTGAGTCTTGTGAGAATTCTTGCTTTTTTGTTTTATATAAGCATGTTAAAATGCATGTTTAAGGGTGGGGTTAAAACAAGCGACTGAATACTTGGATTAGCTTATTATTATTTTTATTATAACAACTTTTTTTTTTGGGGTTGAATTAGACAATTTAAATTGAAGGCTCATTGGTTTTTCTTACATTAATAATCTTTCTTTTTTGCTTTGAGAGCTTTTTTAATTTGGTTTTACTATGCCTCTAAAATATGGCCTTTTATTTTCATTTTTTTATTCCAGTGGAAAAAATTCTCATTTACTCGCAATTGTTTATAATTTTTTGGCATAGGATCAAGTTTTTTTGGCCTAGGATAATTTTTTGATAGACTTTTTTGTGTGATTAATTGAGTGTTTTCTTGATCCTATGCCATGCCACCGTGCGAATAAATGAATGCTCTTGTAATATAAAACTAGATTTTGTTGATATGCATGTAGTATGTGTGAGCGACAATGAGCCATCAAACGATATCTACCTACATAAGATTGGTAAAAGTTCTTGAAAGAAAGTTAAAAATCAATGCACTTGGTTGGACATATTTTAAATTTCATGGAAACAATTTTCTCGCTAATGATTAACAGAAATGCAAAAATTTATAAAAGGCAAATGTATTGGACATCTAGCTCTAATAACCCACATCGTGTTGATGATGGCATATCTATTTACTTCGGCAAACCCAAAAGCACAACTCAAAATCTTAAGTGACCAGAAGATCATAATAATGTACTAGGCGAGATGCTATTTGAACAATATGTTAATTGGAATTTCTGTAATGGGAACATGTGAAAGGAACAGTAGGCAAGCTTAGTGGATGCGTTTAATCGACGTCTAGGCTCTAACTATACAGAAACTTATGTAATAATACGATTTAAAAATATGAAGCTGACTTTAGAACATTTTATCAACTGACAAACAGTAGCGATTGGGCTTGGGACGAGGAGTTACACATCCCTGTAGCGACGGATGAGTTATTTGAGGAAATTGGTCAATTATTGTTTTTTCTATTTAATAATTCACGCAAATATAAAATTCATATTCCTAATGTAACCAAATTTTTAATTGTAGGTAAATCTAAAGCTAACTCGATTTCAAAGACATCCCTTCCATCAGTATGACATTTTCGAGAATATTTGTATCAAAAACATTGCAATAGGAACTGGTGCATGATCTAGTAAGGTGACACAACCCATGATAAACTTAGATTATGATGAAACCCCACACCTCCAAATGCCTTTATAAGCCTTAAAGACCTACTAGTAAGTCGTTGACATTTGCGTGACACAAAGAATATGCTCGCAGCTGAGTAACTAGGTATATTTTTGTGAGGAGTTACGCATGCTCATAGTTACAGCTAGTTGTATGAGTTCTTCCATCATTCATTGGAAACAATTAGCATGTACTTTAATATAGTTCTATGTACTATTGTATCATTCGCAGATTAATTTATTAAATTACCCCAGGGAGATGCAGAATATCATCCGCATATACATTCAAATGCAATGTTTTACCCTTACCTCATGAACACATTTGGTTCAATTGACAACAATCATATCCTTGCAGTAGTTAGTAACAGCTTACATAACTGTTATCGTAACCGTAAGGGCTTCACTTCATATGATTGCAGTTTCATTTGATAGATAGTTCATGTATGTAGCATATGGGTGGGAAGGTTTTGATGCAGATATGCTTGTGCTAAGATGGGCTGTGGAGCAAGGTTGATTTGGAGTGTCATGCAATCATTATTACTTGGTTGATTCAAGTTATGCAAACACTGATAAATTGATTGCACCTTTTCGAGGATACTAATATCTCCTAGCTGACTATTGAGGAAGTACATTTAGAATATATACAAATCAGTAAGAATTACTTAATCACTGACATGCCCAATTGTGAAATGTGGTGGAGAGGACCTTTAGAATTTGGAAGGAATGTTTTGAAGTGTCAAAACACATGAGAAAGTTTCCTCTTAGTGTTCAAATTGATTTGGTTATTGCATGTGTATTTTTACACAACTTTATGGGTCGATATCATGAAAATGATATGTATTTCAATATATCACAGACGAAAATAAAGCATGATACTGAACATTGCGAAGTTGAAATGTTGGATGAAGATCCTAACTTGCCTATGACAATAGGAGAATTCTGAAAGAAGTGACAAGGCATGTCATCGCAACAAATATGTGGAATGCTCATGTAAGGATTTCTATATGCATTTGTAATATTTCATTTTTGAATACATTTTTTAGCTATTTCAAGATTTTTTTTATTTCAGATAAATTGTCAAAATAATTGATGGTTAAGAGAAAGTTACTCTTCAATGCAAGAAATATCAACTTCTCTATCATATTGCAGCGTACTATCATGTAGTAGTTAATTGGTGTACAAAAAAAATTATTCATAGTGTCATGTACTCTTACAACTTTTATATGTTTTTATTATATGATGTTATGTTAGATTTATTATTAGGCCTAGAGTCATCTCAAATTTATAATCAGAATATTGATGTAATTTAGAATTAGTTCTTCAATTTTAAATCTCCAATTATTTTAATATATTGCCAAACAAATTTTTAAAATTTAACAAAATTTAACATTTATCATATGAAATACTTTTCAGGATTTATGAGCATCAGATTTCCAGGATTTACTAAATCAGTTGAATCCACTACGATACCAAACACCCCTGAGTATACTCAAATAGCCTCTCAAGTTAGCGGAATTCAGCTGCTGCGCAGGTCCATGAACTCCACCGGCTCTCGCCGGCGGTCATTGCGTTCCCTACCGCCAACTGAAGCCATAGAAATCGGCTATGCTCTCTCCCTCACCTCACGCCTGAAACTACTCCTCACCTTCTTTCGCTCCGATCCGGCTGTGAAGCCCATTGACGAGTGGCAGCTAAAGCTCTCCCTCCTCGACTTTCTCCGCTCCACGCTCTCCCTCAACGTGCACGACGAAGACCTCGTCCTGCGAAAGCGTCCCGATCTCCACAAGCGCAAGCGCGACGAACCCGTCGCATCCGGAACCCTCTGCATCCGGGATTTTGACTTTATTAAACACAAGAGGCGAGGAGACGATGACGATGATACAGATGAGGTACTCGAGAAGAAGTTTTTGGATTGGAGGGCTTCCTTCTTGGATCGTTTGAGCGGGATCGAACTAAATCTGGAGGGCGTCAAGTTTCGAATGACCGTTGAGGTTCCCCCGTCCGATGACTACGAGGCGATGAAGAGGTTATGGGAGGATTATTATGCTTCGCAGCTGCTGGATGGCCGTAATAAACATTACCTTTTAGTAGTTCTGATTGCTTGAAATTTAACATTTCACTAGTCATTTGTATTCGTTCTGAAAGAGATTTTAACTGTAGGTAGCTATTCCAAGGGAGTGGCTCGGAGGCCTGACACAATTATTGTCCAAGGAGTTCCTTCAAGGTGGTTTGCAGAGCCAAGGGTGTCCTCTAAGCCTTCGATGCTGAATACTCATACCATCTTTTCGGTTCTTGGAAAGATAAGGTATGCCTTTTAATCAATCAAAGAGCTATATTTTTGTTCAATGTTAGGGTTTAGGGTGTAGCAAGAGCTCAATTTATTCGCTGGGAACTTTTGACTCTCAGGATGCCTGAATTCAAGGATATTTGGCACATATGCAACTGTGCTCTTGAGAGTATTCATTGATTTATTCATAATGAAAACAGCGTATTTAATTGGGTTCTAAAGCAAGTTTTGGAATTTAGGTGTGTTGAAATATTCACGAGGATGCTCACAATTTAGCGTCTATGGATTTTATGATGATCCCACACATATACTTATAAGTTGAAATTAACTTATAAGATGCACATGATTTTTTTACGTGAAAAAATGTAGAAGGGGTAAAACCATGCATATTTGAAATAGTTTTAATAATGTGAATTAATGATTATAGAAGGCGCTCATACCATGACTAGATGAGACGTCAATGCAACATAAGAGACTTGAACCATGAGAGCCCTATCTTGTGGTTGTAGTAAGAGGAGTCTTAGGGTGTCAGACTTGTAATTAAGTGGTGAGTGATATTAGTTGGTGATTAACTTGATCATTTGCTTGATTAGAGGAAGACTAAGTTGACGGAGAATGTCAGAAGTTAGGAGACATTGGGAGTCTTCTTGGGCATTTGTCTGATTGGAGAGGAGATCAGATGACTTAAAAGACGAGCATTGGTCATCAATTGCTGATAAATGTCAGATGTTGATCATTGATAAGTGAACGTTAGATGTTAGTTGTTGGTAGACTTTAGGCGAAGATTGCCGGTGAATGCTCAAAGTGTGGTGAGGTGATGGTGGGTGACTAAAATGGTCATTTTCTTGATAGGAGGGGAGTGGCCAGGAAACCAAGATGATGTATGTCATATGTTAGTTGATGGATGTTATATATTGCAAGGCTTCAAGTGACGTTTCATGAGATATGTTAGAAGTTGGATGATAGTGGGCGTTCAATTTAGTCATTCTTTTGATTGGATATAACACTAGGCGGCTTAGAAGATGAATGTTAGATGTTAGTTGCTTGTAAGTGTCAGACAGTGGTGAACAAAGCTATAAAGCAACATTGTGAAGTAAGCTTGGTTATTCTTTTGATAGTATGGAAGATAGGGCTACAAAGAAGTCAAGCGTTGGATGTTGATCATTGGCATATATCGTGCTATGATCAATGAGAAATGCTGAGAGTTAGAAGACGTTGGACGATTGACTTGCGAATTCTTATGATATGAGGGGAGATCATTTGATTGAGAAGACATATATTAGCGGTCAATGAACAGTGGTCATTAGTAGGATTTGGATATTAATCAACGCGGAATATGGGTGGCAATTTATAATTGAGTTGATTGTTCTTTTGTATGATGGGAGACTGGGGGGTGCGAAAGATAAATATTGGTGGTTAATGGATGCCAATCATTATCAATAGCTGTTGTGGCAGTTAACGACAACTGTTAATGTTGGACCACGACTTGTCAAGGATGGCCACTTAAGTCGATAGATGGCATTGCACAACAAATTATGGCCGACATCACATCATTTGATGACTGTTGTCATGTGGTGGATGCCGATAGGCATTGGTGTTGGTTGATGCCTGACAATGGGTGATGATATAGTGCTCTAGATTTCTATATGAATCCTAAGTTATTTTTTGTGATAAAAATCCTCCCATGAAGGTGTAAAAATAACATTTAGGCATTTTAGAGGGGAGGGTTCTGCTCATCTTTACGAAAATTTGGGCACTCAATTGGATGATATGAATATATTCACTTTATTCCTTTAATGACTTTTGGAGGAAATTTCAATGCCTTAACAAGCTTAGAATTTTATGACATTGGAGCCACCAAATTCTTCTCATCGAGATGCTTGTTTTTCCATCTTGAAAGCATTATTGAAAACTTCTCTAAGATTGTAAGACATTCAATTAATCAAGCGACCCAATTGTTGACAGGTGTTTGCTGAGAGGAGTAGAGGAGGGCATTTGTGAAAATCACTAGGAATAAAGAAAAGAACAAGGAGTATGTGCATTCGTAGATCTAGGGTAAAGAGGGCGAGGAACTCTTGACATGCTATAAAGGTCTAGTAGAGATGGTGACTGCAACAATGACGATGTGTGATACGATGCGTGATTGAGCATACATACAAAAGTGGTGGCGGTAATAGCTTGCAGGTATGATATCCTGGCTTAGATTTGGACATATACGTGGGGTGCAAGCACAAGTGACAGAGCAAATACAAGGGCAGGCTTTGTTTTGGGGTGAAAGATTAGGCTTATGATGGGCTCAATATGTTGGGTGTGAAATAATTGAAAAAGAAAATAGGAAGGTCTCAGGCGCATACAAGGGCTTGTGGTGAATGGCTTGAACACAAGGGGGTGATGGATAGGGTTGGGCTAACCCTACTCAGATGCCATGTTAGAGTGGAAATCTTTTTTTTTTTTCGCTTATTATTCATTAGAAGACCACTTAGTTTATAATAAATGAATGAATGCATTGTTTTAAAGAACAACCTGTTAAACATACACGTCACTAAATATATATTATTTTTCTAACTTGATATTTTCCTATTAAAAAGAATCTAAAATAAAATAATAAGGATGAAATAGAAGATAAAAAAAATGATCAATTTTTTAATTTTCTAGTCTCAATCCACAAGATTTGTTCTTTCGACTGGTGTAGACCTTCAAATCTCCAACGCTTACACATGTCAGAGGATTTACTCCTGTGTATTTGTCCATATGAGGCTACTGATCCGCATGACATATAAACACGCTTATGCATAAAATTTACCTTGGTGTATGGGTTTGTTTAGTACTTGAAGAATATGTTACACTTAGATTTTTCTTAAATGGTGGATAAAAATACATAGATTTTTTACTAGATGGTTTGCTCACTACTACTACTTGTATTATGATCCCTTAACATTTTTTAATAGGAATCTTTATATTGCTGGCGGTGATGACACTGTTGAGAATGCAGAAGCAATTGCTGGTAATGTTGTGCCTGGCCTTCAGTGCAAGGTTTGGGTTCAATTTGAGAATTATGATGAATTCAGTAATGCAATGAGGGCGCTTTGTGGACGCTCAATGCAGAAGGTGAGAAGTTGTGAAAGGGCACACTTGATCTTATAACATTAACTTTATTATATTACTTGCTCGTATTATTGGTAGTTAGAAGTTCTTCAGCCCGATTCCTTGGCACATTCCCTGCCAAATGCACACAAAAGAGCACACCAAAAAGAAAAATTTCTCCCTATACTTCTATTTAATTAATGCTAAAACTTATACTGAAATGAAGGGGGTTTTAAATAATTATAGGGAAATAACAATCAAGCCCTTGAGCATTTAAATGGCATCCTCTCAATCTTCTATTATATCTCTGTATATAGATATACAAGCTTAATTTTTGTCTAAGGCTTCTTTTGGGACGGCTTTCTTCCTACTTCTTAAAGTGGCTTATTTTTGTACTAGAAAGCTGCTTTAAGAAGTAGGAAGAAAGCCGCCCAAAACGAAGCCTAAATCTCGGTTTTGGTGTAACTTATATTTACTTAATGCATAAGTGGAAGTAATTTTGACTAGAATCATTACTTGAGCTCATTCTTTTCCTGATTCTCTAGCACATCATCTGCCTAGCAAACACATGGAGCAACAACCAAAAAGGAAAATTTCTCCCTATACTTATGATGTTTTGTAAGATATTGTTATGTTGATTGTTCTTTGTAATAATGATGTTTTGTACTTAACATATTATTTTGTTATTTCAAACTGAGCATGCGTTTTGCATCATTGTCTGCATTTTCCTAGCAATTGTTGGACTAGGCCTTTGTGTCGTAATATAGTGTTGTTGGGATGATTAAATTAGCAGAGGATTGTTGATTACCCTTGTGCATTGTTATTGTTTTCCTTAACAACAATAATATGTTTCAGAGGAAGCCTAGTAAGGGATTGTCATGAGCTGATGTGAGGATTAAATGCTCTTAGGATTGGTTTGATACTTTTGGGTTCGACATGAGACCCTGCCCAGGAATAGAAGCCTAGTAAGGGATTGTCAGATAAATCTTAGTGCAAGTGCAGACGTAGTATGATCAAGCTGCAACACATAAACATACATGTTGATGTACGCATCAAATTCTCCTTGGATTGCCTTTGAGTGAGGTTAAGTTAGCAATGCAAATGCAAATATATATATATATATATATATATATATAGGAATATTTCTTAATAATATTGGAGTATAATACGTAAAAAGTGTGTATTATATTTTTTTTGCCTTAAATTTCATGCATTTTTTTGTATTTTTCAGAAAACAAAGCTCACATACTGAACCCGCAGTAGCATTCAGAATATTGATGTGCTCATATTAATATTCACACACTGATTTTCCGAGTATACAGTTCGAAATTTTCATCCCATTACAGAGGATACAAGAGTTATCTCAAAACTCAGAATAACCATATGCTCATTTCAATGTTTATATGCTCATCCTTAAATGATGTGGATGCGGTTGAGATCAATAATTCTTTTGAATTTGTTATTTTGAAAAGCTATTAATGGTGTGATTAAAATGCCAGTAATAAATGACTTGGAACTTCTAATTAACAAATTTTAGCCTCTTTTAAATAGTCAAATATATATGCCATTTGGTTCATATTGATTTAGCATCGTGAGGAATGCTTTTCTCATCTTTTATTTATAAATCAGGTTGCTCCAAGCAACTTTTTTTCCCTATTCTTTTATGGATTAATTATTTTGTGTGGACGTCGAGCGCAATCCAAAGACCAACCAGAATGTGCAACGTCACCTCTTCGCTCGGTACCTCTGATGTGGCGTCTGCCGTGCCGCATTTTAGTTGGTCTCGGGATGACGTTCTGCCACACAAAATAATTTCTCTCTTTTATGAGCCACAGGCTCTCCTTTTTACAAAAGCTTTCTTTTATCTTCATTGCTCCGTATCTTTGAACATTAGCCAAAATTGACTGTCACTTTATGCAGCAAGGTTCACGTCTCAAAGTAAATTATGAGGTAACCTGGGATAAAGACATTTTTTTCAGAAATGCACCGCAAAAGCCCACAAGAGGCCAGGAAAGGATACAAGAATCATCAAAGAATGTAAGAACTGAAGCTCCAAGCTACGAATCTAAGGACCTCCAGTCAGATCATGATGGTGCAAGGATGAGAAGGTTCAGGGTAGGTGCTCTGAATTCTGATACCTTTTTAAATCACTTATAGGAAAATAATCAAATTTCTTTAAATGCGTCTATAATAGCACAGTTTGATATAAGTGGTGGTGTTTGTTCAATCATTTATGTTGAACTCATCTAAAATAAATCTAATATTTCTTCTTGCTAGACTAAAAAAATTGATCAAACTATCCGAGCTATTTATTTTTCTTTGTTACACCAATCAAATTGGCCTCTATAATTAACCACTATATACAGCTCACCTTGACCTGTTGGTTGAGAGCTAAGACTTCCAACTAAAAGGTCTTGGATTCGAGTCTTTGTTACACCAATCAAATGGCCCTCTATAATTAACCACTATCAAAAGGGCATTGGATTGAGAAACTAAAGCTACGTTTGGGACGGCTTTTTTATTGCTTCTTAAAGCTGTTTTTTAGTTAAAAATTTTAATTTTTGAACTAGAAAACTGCTTTAAGAAGCAGTAAAAAAGCCGTCCCAAATGAAGCCTAAGTGTTTGATGAACAAATATCCTTTATCTTATGAGCAAGTCATCAATCTATTTGGGAATTTTGGCCAAATACCCCAAACCATTATTTTTGTTCATGTCAAAAGTCACTGAGCTAAGCTGATATAGTGATGCAACTGGTGTTTTGTGACGTTTTGGCGATTTTTTGCGGGTATCATTCTGATTTGGTTACTGATTTTGTTTTCATGTGCGGTTATATGCAGGATTAAAGCTCTAGAAAATTGCTGCAGCAATCAGGCAGTGACATAGAGAGGTTCCTGGGAGCTGAATATTCATGTTTATGAATGCCAGGTTATTCTATTCATATTTCAGTCTTGCATAAAATCTTTGAGTACCGCTATTCTGATGTATATTTAAGCTAAAACTTGTAAGTTGTATGTCTGATTTTTGGTTAAATGATAATGTCTTCATCAAAGGTTGTAGATTCAGAAAAAGAGTCATTTTCATGAGAAATTATTCTGTCCGGACGCCGAACGTCATTCGGAGACCAATCAGAATGAGCCATGTCAGTACCGCGTCACTGACGTGGCTCATTCTGGTTAATCTCTGGATGTAGAGCTGCGTTCTACGTCCGTATAAAATAATTTATCATTTTTCACACCAATCAACTGTTGTATAGCTTCAATAAATCCCACAAGATGACAAAGAGTAATGATCCATGATCAATTCATAGTTTTTTTTTGATGAATTGGCAATGGGTGCTATATGTAATCGTATAAGATTTTAATCTTTCTCTTGCCACTTCTAACTTCTAAGTTTTTTTAAAGACCTTAGTTAGGCAACATAGCATATAGATCACATAAAAATTTATGTGTTCTACATACATGGGCATAAGTTCATCATCTTTTTCTCATTGATGTTCATCTTGTTTTTTAGCTAAATATGAGTTTTTTTTTTTTTTGGACATTTTTGTCAATTAAGACAAACTCACAAACATCATATATGCAAGCCTCAAATCTAAAATCTATTGGTTGGTAGTCAAAGCTCCTAACCAACATACCAAGATAAGCTGCATCTAAATATGAGTTTTTTATAAACATTAAAGCTTCGTTTGTGACAATTTTTAACCATTGCTTTTAATTTTTTTGTAATATAAAGCAGCTTCAAAAAAATAGTTAGACAACTATTACAATCATAATTTTTATTTGGTCTTTGATTTTTGATGCTTTCAAAAAAAAAAAATATTGAAAAGCTACTTTCTACAATAACTTTAATAAATTATTTTATGCAGGAAAAAAACTTTCAAATGAAACCTAATAAATAATTTTTATCTGTCCGTCCATTGCTGCTTGGAATGTTAGAGGGTTTTCTTCCTCTAATAAGGTATCTCATTGCAAAATGTTAGTTCAATCTCTTTGATTGGACATGATTTGTATTCTAGAAAATAGAATACAGCTTGCTAATCTCTCTGATCAGAGCTTCTTCAATAGTCATCTGGATGAGTTTTTTTTTTTGGGACATTTTTGTCAATTAAGACAAACTCACAAACATCATATATGCAAGCCTCAAATCTAAAATCTATTGATTGGTAGTCAAAGCTCCTAACCGACATACCAACAGAGCTGCATCTAAATATGAGTTTTTTATAAACATTAAAGCTTCGTTTGTGACAATTTTTAACCATTGCTTTGAATTTTTTTTGTAATATAAAGCAGCTTAAAAAAATAGTTAGACAACTATTACAATCATAATTTTTATTTGGTCTTTGATTTTTGATGCTTTCAAAAAAAAAATATTAAAAAGCTACTTTAATTTCTACAATAACTTTAATAAATTATTTTATGCAGGAAAAAAACTTTCAAATGAAACCTAAAATTTATTTGAAAGACAGTATAAAATATACATGTTTGTATATATATTAGTGAGCCGAACACGATCAAACAAGATTGTCGAAATCTAATTTATTAAGCATGCAAGCTTATAAAGAAACATTTAAATTTTATCTAATTATTGAGAAAAAAAAAAAACATTTATGAGATGCTTTTTCAGTTTGTATGTAAATCTGTAGGCATTAAAAGTCATCAATGCACAGTAATTACAATAATGACATTTTATGTGAATTTATTGAAGGTATATCATATTATTTCATTCGGTGTATATTACCAAAATCTTGGCGTTTTTACAGCCTGACGCAGATTGTGTTTCCTGTAATCGTTCTTCGAAGATTTCATCAGAAGGAATAGAAAAAAAAAATATGTGAGAATATATTTAAAAATCATTAAAATTAATATTATATGTGAAAATTTTGTATTATATTAGTCTTAAAAAATAAATTTAACAAATTTAAATTTATTTTAATGTAATTTCAACCAGAATATTTTAACAGCAACAAAAAATCTTAACCCTAAACTTGTCATAGTAAAGGGTGAACTTGCATGGACCAAGATGAACTCACCAAGCTTATGACAAATTCGCCGAAATCTATAAGAACTTTCTAGAATCATAGGAAAATTCGCTTCATGGTTCACTTAGGCAATATCATTTGAGTTCAAATTTATTCAACCTTGCATATTCACCCAAACATTGGTACCAACTCTCTTGTGTTCGTCAAAGCAAGTCGACAATCTCTTCTAAGGTTTTATTTAGGACAACTTTCCCGCTGCTTTTTAAAGTATCTTTCTAGTACAAAAAAATTAATTATTGCACTAAAAAACTGCTTTAAGAAACAGCAGAAACCGTCGTAAACAAAGTCTAAATTGGCAACTTTCTTCAACCACACCAACAACTTCAGTCAATAAGCCAATTGGCTCAGAAAACAAACTTATGGTGGTAAGCATCAAGCCAAAATATCCAAATAAGTGATAATACTAGAAATTCATAAAAAGGAGGAGAAATTTATAACAACAAGAGAGAAATATCCTCTCTAATTTTCCATTTCCTAACTTTTGCCCATGTGGCTTTGTTAATGATGATGGCAATAATAGCATAGAGAAATTATTAGGTGCGGACAGCGGCCGGAGAGAACCGTCAGATTTTCTGTCTGTTTATAGTAAAAGCACAGTCAAAGCGCAACAACTATAGTAACTACAGCTGCGCTTTCACTATAGATAGAGAGAAAATCGTCCGGTTCTTTCGGTCCGGTGTCTGTACCTAATAATTTGGCTAGTAGCATAACTATTAAAGTGTATTTTAATATTCTGGAATCACGTTCTCTCCACATGAAGAAGACAGAACAGCAAATAGAGAGAAAAATAAAACTTTTCTGAAGTGAATTAAATAGGGAATATTCAGAAATAAAACTAAATAACTGAAGAAGGGTCGGCCTTAACAAAAAACCCTTTAATCCAAGGAAATAAGAAGCTAATGATGTTATAAGAAACATCACATTCAAAGAGAAGATGTGAAACAGATTCTTCATATGAGAAACAAAGCCCACATTTCATGTCAATTGCTATGCAATGCATAAAAAACACTCATAAGCCAAAGTGGTTAGAACTAGATTATAACAGTTTTAGGAGGAATTCAATGATGCTGTAGCAACAAAATCAAAAGAAATTCAAGAACTTGCCCGCGATTCCAATCTGGGAGCATAGCAAAATAAACTTAAATGTAACACAAAAAAAATGCTCACAAAGTTCAGTTTCAATATATTCATTAAAGAGATATAAGGTGAGGGAATTCTGGAATTCTATTCATAAAATGTCTATCTCTGCAAGATCGAAAAGTTGAAACTTGAAAGTGTCCCTAAGGCATAACCTATTTTAGACAAGAATTCAACTGGATGCTTCAATAAATCTCCTTTTGTAACACCACAAACTTATAATTATCGAGATATTGTCCGCTATAGCCTAATGACCTCACAGTTTTGCCCCATTGGTGTAACTTCCCAGGAGATCACCCATCCTAAAATTTCTCCCGCACAAAAACACTTAACATTTGAGTTTCTTAATAAAATTTCAACCATTACACCAAAAGGTGTCTCAATTTTTAAGTTTAGTTTCCTTCTACTTAGGGTTTCACACCTTTTAGCTTCATTATTGGCTAAATTCAAATTTTGTTAAATATCATCATTCACAGATTTAAATAGACTTAAGAATTTCCATCTCACAAATGCTAAACCCCAAATGAAACAGCTAAACAGTGCATCACAATTTCAGGTTTTAACCCTCAAATATTTGGATTTATAAGATAACAAAATCTTAATTTTTAGCCAAACAGGCCCCAAGTAGGAAAGCTAATTCTTAGATTATTTAGGGTTTATTTGGGACGGATTTTTTACTTCTGCTTAAAGCGGCTTTATAGTTCAAAAATTAAAATTTTAATACTAGAAAGTTGCTTTAAGAAACAGTAAGAAAGCCGTCCCAAACAAAGCCTTAGTCAAACAGAACAGCTACATGAGAGAAACAAATGCATCCAGAATATTTTCAAAAGAAATCAGTAAATAAAATAACAATAACAATGAAATTCATAACCATGAACAATGATAGCATTGCAAAACTCTCAAGGCTCGACCAAAGATAAGAAAGGGATTAGCATCACTAACAGAACAGTATAATCAAATGAAATCTTCTGGTGAGAAAGATATAGTATTATTATAGCTCATTTTGAGGTGAAATTAGTCTGTGCGGATACTGATGCTGTTCGAAGGCGAATCAGAGCACGTCGCATCACCCCTTTGCTGTGGGTCGCAGTTGTGTACCATGTGATGTAGCGCGCTCTGATTTGCCTCCGAACAGTCCAGTGTCCGCACAGAATAATTTCTCCATTTTGAGACAAATAAACAAGTTTACATGACAAATTCAAAAGCAACACAAATTGAATCAGTCTGGAATATATATAACCATATTAATCATAGTTGCATTCTAGACATTTGAGCAGCAATAACTAAACCAAATAATATAATTAGATTGATGGAGGCCTGGAGCCAATGACCATCTCCTCCCAAAATAAATGCCATAACTTTGGCATAAAGAGAAAGCTCTCAAAACAATTAGACATGAAAAAGGCAGCTATCAGTTGCAAAATTTAGATCATGAACTCCTGCTTACAAATGAAATCTGCAATCAATGCTAATTTCACAGTAAAGATTCAATTTTTGAGAAATAGAAATTTCATTGATAATCATTTCTCTTATTGCAAGATGCATTAAACAGTCACTAAGCCCACTCTATACAGGAAACTAAGCAACATGATGAGTTGGATGAGAAGACTCAACGTTATCAAGAACATACCCATCTAGAGCAATGTGCTTCAAATCAATAATAAAATTGTTTCTTAAAAACCCAAACCCAAATGTTCCATCTTCATATTCCCATATCCTACCCTCAACATTTCTAGGATCACCAGAAGAACCAGCCAGGTCAGGAAGAACCAGGTCATAGCTACAGTTGATGCAGAGGATGCGGGAGACAAGCTCCCTATCCATGTTGCAGTGAACTAAGCCAACAGACCCAATATGCTCCTTCATGCTATATATAGCACGTTCTTCTTTGGAGAATGGTGATTCCAAGAATGTAGTATTAGAAGTCCAGAAGACCGGGGAATAACCGGAGAAAGGCTCCGCCGAATCACCAACTCGCCGGCAGGCTATTCCCCCAACATCATCATGTGTTACAAGATAAAATTCCAGGCTCATGTCCTCAGATATCCCCTGTAAGAGGAAATGGTGACTGAGAAGAAATCTTCTATATAGTTAGATATCTTCTTTTTCACAGAAAAAGAAAACTAAGATGATGTAGTATCAGCAATTCATGCCATTCTTGCTAACTTTGAACTACAATTGACATTCAAAGAAGAAGAAGAAGAAGAAGAAGATTGACTATAGTTAACGAGTGCGAATAGAAGTAAACAATCACCTTCCATAATCCCTGCAAAGGTCTCGCAGGAGTCGGGAAATAGTTTGAAATCTTGACAAAATGCTCGGCCTCCCATCTCCTTCTTCCAAGCCTTTCCTTCTCCTTCTTCTTCCTTTGTCTTCTCAAGGATTTCTCCGCTCCAGGACTCGTTCTATTGGCAAAATACTGGTATATCTCCGACATCACCCGATCCGGAGGCGAGCCAGCCTCCACGGCCAGCACTTCTTCGGAATCGTCCATGTTGGGATCCATGCAGAAGCTCCGGGTTTCCTCGACCACGAAATGGTTGCATCCCATGAAGCTGATCGTCACTGGGATGACATCGGAGTCGGACAGCGGGTTATCGGGATGAAGGTAGCTTAAGGTCTCGCCAGCGGCCGATAGGCCGAGCCAAAGGAATGGGACCTTGCGGACGGCGTAGGAGGCGGCGAAAGTGGAGGGCGATATACGGGAGCCAATCATGCAGGAAGGGCTCCACTCAAAGAAAACAAGGGGCGGTGTTCCAGGGATCCCACTGCCGATGCGGCGCCAAAAGCCGATGAGTTGTTCCCAGCGATCCAGGGTTTTGTAGAAGCGGGGCGACGGGATGGCAGACCAGCGCCGGAGCTCGGTCTTGGAGCCCCATCGGCGTTCGCACAGAGCGAGCCAGAGGTCAGTCGAAGGGGAGGAAGGGCTGCAGAGGGCAGCGAAGCGGTGGCAGGTGCAAGCGAAGGCGGAGATCTCGATTGGGCGGAGGAACGAGAGGATGTTGAGCTGAACGTCATCAGGGAACTCCGAAAAGGACATCGAGCTTTCAAGATCCAGCGCCATGGGTGATGTTTCGGTGGAAACTGGTGATAATTTGGCCGCGTCGGAACTCTTGAATTTTACAAAGATTCAGCCTTGAATTGTTGCGCAAGAAACCCATTGAGCCTCTGGTTTTGGATTAATTATTCTATCCGTATGCCAAATGTGACCAATTAGAATGTGTCAGCTCACACTGATGCTCGGCACTATTGCCCGGTACTCGGTATTGACCTGACATAATCTGGTTGATCTTTAGACGATATTATGCATCTGATCTTTGCAGAAAATATGTACGTAGTCTGGATCAGAGAATTATCCGTATTCTATGAATGTGCATAGTAAAAACACAGTTATAATACACTATTATATTTTCACTGCACACTCATAAATATCAGACTGAGCTCTGTTCTAAACTCTGCACGTAATAATATCTCTTTTGATTAGCTATTAAGTATTAACAAATGAGGAAATACTAAAATTAGGTGAAATTATAAGAAGGGGCAAGTCAATAATGACATAAATTAGGAGAAGAAATATAAAATAAATAAAAATTAAATAGGAACAAGCATATCATTTAGTTTGACACATTTAAATGGGAGCAAACTTACCATTTAGTTTGGTGTATCCATTATTTTTATTACTAATAAATTTTTATTTAATTAATATCTTAATAAATTTATTTTTAGGGACAACCTAGAATACATAAAATTTTTTGACGTATTTAATAAAATTCACCAAAATATTTAATGCATTCAGAATGCATCAAATTTTTTAGTGAAATCTACGACAAACTAAATGGTAAGTTTGCTCCCATTTAAATTTTATTTTTTCCATGTTCTTCCTCCTAATTTATGTTAATGAGGTGCTCCTTAATATATTACCTTAAAATAAAAAGTAATTTAATTTTAGACTTGCTGGCATGCGCATGAGTTGCCTTCAGCTCTAGCCACCAAGCTTGTGCTCGGCCATGCAAACGATTGGCAAGAAGTGGACAATGGCTGGATTCTGATGTTGATAATCGTTGGAAGAAGAAGATGCTAGAACAATATCAGAGAACAAAATAGTAAACTCTAAGTAATATCATATCTCTCTTCTATGTTTTTTTTCTCTTTGAATATACTTGTTGCATCCTAGAAAATTCATGACGGTAGGGAGATAAAAAATTAGTGTTCTAACTTTGTACATATATTCAACACGCTGACATATAAGAAAAAGGGGTGCATCATTCATAAGAGATCATAATTTTGATGTGAAAACCTTTGAGAACGGGAAAAAACACACGGTCTTGCCTAGTGTGATTGAATCCACTAGTAGATTGCAAATGATGCCCTTCCTTAGGAGAAGGCAATAGCTCAATGTACCAAATATACATCATATAGAGCACTTTACATTTGGGGCTGGAAGAACCAAATGTCATAAGAGCTATTCTCAAGTGAGTGATGGCTTGTTCGTTTGGTTGGTAGGACTATGTTTGAGCGACAAGGTCAAAGAGAATATTGCCGTTGGATGACAGTGGTCAAAAGGATTGTAGTTGGGGAGTGACGGATGTCAAAATGACCATAGTCTGATGACGGTGATCGAAAAGACTGTAGTCAAGCGACGGTGGTCGAAAAGATCGTAGTTGAATGATAACGGTTGGAATGACTGTAATTGGGCAATGATGGTCAAAGTGACTGCAGTAGGCGGGCAACAAAAGTTGGAGAGATTGTAGTTGGTGGGATCCGATATTTGGAGGAACCATAGTATACGAGCAATGGTGGTTGGAGGGATCGTAATCGACGGGTGAATGTGGTCAAAGGGAACATTGTTGGAGGGCAATAGTGGTCAGATGGACTACAATTGGCGAGCGATGGTGGTCGAAGGGGCCGTAGTCGGCGGGCAATAGAGGTCAGAGGGATTGTAGTTGACTGCTAAAGGAGGTTGGAGGGATTGTAGTCGGCGATGGTCGAAGGGATTGTAATTAGTGGGCAACATAGGTCGGATGAAGGCCCTATTATAGCTTCCAGATAGAGATTTAATGGCAATGGTCGCTTAGAGGGACAACAACGACACCCTAGTAGCAAGAGTTTGCTGACGGTGGTACTGGGGTGAAGTTCCAAGATGCTTCCAGCCTGAGAGCTCTATTGAGTCCCTAACTTAGGGTCTAAGCTTGCAAAAGGCCAAGCCCCCGTTCATGTGGGAAGATGATATCTATTTATATATTTCTAGAGTGACATGTTTTGTAAATATGGAGAAGACTGAGGGGTAGATTCGAAGTGCTCCATTGGACAGCCCATATTGATTCCCTAGATCATATGACATTTGCTCAGCATTTAATTGCCATAATGATGTCGGAATTAAGTGATCTTGAGCTATTTGGATTTGTCTCGTCGAGCCGCACATTTAACCTATAAAGCACATCATATTTCGATATCATTCAACCATCCAATTAATGCTTTGAACTTTTAAAAAATATTTTAAGCCCTTTATTTGAGTCCATTTGGGCTCAAATTGGACCGATTTTGATATCGTTGAATTCGTCTCCTTGATACGTTCAATTTGAGTATAAGTATGTTGAAATTGGAGTTCAGATGAGCCCGAATTTAATTTTGTAAGTTGCAAACTATAATATGCCTCAATATTCATGATCGATCAAGACAATTTTTGGTGACATATCAGTGATCAGGGGGAGTTCAAATTCATTAGATGCAAAAGATAGTTACAAAAGAGCCAAAGCTACACTGCAAAATTAATAAAACTAGAAAAAGCTGCATATAAAAGTAGCAATAGATTTTATCAATAATGTAAAAGTAGGCCTTTCTTCTTTCAATAAAATATATTTTTATGGATTTAATCAAGCTTTTAGGGATTTTAATTATCTTTTTTATTATAAATATGGTATATTTGATGCTTTGAAAATCCTTTCTAAGATTCTTTTTTTATTATTTGAATTCAGAATCCGGACTATAGAAATTCTCTTTGCCTATCTTTGCTCTTCTGCTTCAAGCCCGGGACAATAGTTGGACTGCTCCCCACTCTTCCTGAAAGCTAAGATTTGAACATACTAATTAATTATGATGGTCTCTAAATAGATATTATAGGGGAAGATTAGGCTTGTTATGCAATGCATTTCAAATATAGGCATTCTATTAAAAAAAATAAAAATTAAAAAAAATAAAGAAAAAAAGTATTTGTTTGATGAATTTCAGATAAGACATAATCTATCAATAAATTTATAATTCACCACTCAGTTTAATTTTAAAGTATTTGAAAATTGTTAAATCTGCCTGATTTTTCAAATACATTGTAAATTTTCTAATATTGGATTTGTAAGTTGCTGCCAGCCATTATCTCCATCGTCGGCCACCGCCTGCGGCCACCTACTTACCATTGACCACCACCATCGCTATATTATGTTATATTCTTGAGGTTAATTTTCCGATGCTATTTCATTTGTGCATGTGATAGTATAATGATTTGAAAAAAAAAATATTTGGATGGCTTCTAAGTAATTTGTCATTTTAATTGTTAAAAATTTTGAAATTTAGGACAGCCTGAAAGGAGCTATTATTCTATGCGGACACCAGACAGAAGAATCGTCCGGTTAAGTGTCGGGTACCCAGCAATACCGAGGGGTACCGAGCACGGGTACTGAGCTCAGTACAGAGCAATGGAGTGACATTACACATTTTTATTGGTCTCCAAACGCTCTACGGACTCCGCCCAGAATAATAAATCGCATGAAGACATTTTGGACTCCTTTTATTATTATTATTTTGGAGTGATTTTTGTGGGTCTGAGATGGTGGGCGGAAAAAGTTTCACCGGGACCCACTAATAAAAGGTTTGACTTTTAACTGCCAGGGTCAACAGGCTACCATGTGCTAAGGCTCCATTGGTGTAAAGAATTGTTCTTTGAAAAATCAGTTATCCAATTGTTGGTCATAAGGTCTTATTTATGAAGATGGTTGGCAATCATTCAAATTTATTTTGATACTGATTTGAAATCTTCACACCAAAAATCAAAATTGGTTCCTCTTAAAGATTTTTTAATATTTTAAAATTTTGATATTTAGATTTGATGATATTATAATTTTTTTTAAGAATGTTGTCAAATTAGTTGTCATTTACTTATTTTCGATAAGTAGTCGCTATACATTTTTTAATATGATTTTATATTTGGTCGTTCTATCTTCGAATTATGTTATGTAACACTTCATTCGGGCTGCAAGTGAGCTTGTAACTCCCTAGGAGGAGAGATTAATACATGCAGAGTCCGGACTGAAGCTGCGTTCGATTTTCATGAGTGTGCGCAACAAAAACGTAGTGTTGAAGTCTGCACTTTTATTGCACACACTTACAAAATCGAACATTTCTCTAATATGAACTCCGCATGTAATAATCTCTCCCATAAGAGAGCTTATCCAACTAAGATTTTAAGCTCAAGCTTAGCCTGATTAGACTCACGATTTGGTTCTTAAGCTTGCTAGCTTATTAAACTACTCATTTAAATTAAAACATATTTCAAAATTAATTTTAAAACAATATTATAAAGTAATAATAACCATTTTAGTTATTTCATAAGTTAAACTCAAGCTTAATAATTTTCGAACAAGTTGAATTCAATCTCAATAAATGAACTCGAGTCAAACTTAGCTCGAGCTTAATAAGAATAAAACAAATTTAACTTTATTAGATAGATAATCGACTCGACTCTACTCATTTATACCCAAAAGCTTTCTTGTTAATAATAACTGTTATTAATCTTATTTTTTTAGTATTAAAAGTGTTTTGTTATTAATTTAGCTTTATAGAAATATAAAACCAAACTGCTTATTTTTCTCCACTTTAGGGTTCATTTGGGACGGCATTTTACTATTTCTTAAATCAGCTTTCTTGTACTAAAAAACTGATTTATGAAGTAGTAAGAAAGCCGTCCTAAACAAAACCTTAAACTCATTCGACCACAACAAATCCTTCTGCTGTAATCTTTCAAAGTAAAGACATACCAAAAATTTTCACACATTCTTTGCTTGAAATGTAGTTCAACTTTTTATTAGATTTGATCCTTCAATTGTTACCCGAAATTGAAGCAACGAATACTTAAGAGATCAAATTTTCTGATCAAGATGGACTTCAAAATTCCTTACTTTGAATGCAATGCAAAAATTTATGAATTGCATTCAGATTCAGATACTTTAAAGCTCACAAATTTTTTCCATTAACAATGTAGAGGTAAACAAATATTGGATTGGGTTGAGCTCTTTTGCCCTGTTCTTCAAATCCTTGGAAATAAGAGAACAAATAATCTGTGAAGCAGAAGTAGAATAGAGTAATCTGGAAAGAAAAACTAGAAGACAACCAACAGATCTCAAGCAGATTCTGAAACTATAAAAGCAATTGAATTTTTCACAATATAACAGATCCAATGAGGAGCAGAAAGCCATTATATAACAGGTTTAATGAAATCCAGTTTTCATAAGATCCACACTATAATTATAAGGTAAAACAAAAACAGAGGATGAAGAAGATAGAAATGTCTACTAGATAGAAACTGGAATGCGATTAAAATTCCCGAAGAAGATCTCCTCCTTTGCAGCCCAAAGCCCGTTCATTTCTTCTAAAAGCAAGCGTCCAGGAGGCAACAGCAGCAAAGGGCAGCCAAACTGTGATAAATAATAGAGCAATCAGCAATTTATTCTAAGAAAGTTATTATGATTAAAGTTCCTAAATGGATCAATTGTGATCTAAGAGTTTTTTCAAGTATTCCTTTTTTTTTTTCAGTATATCATTTCAATGAAAACGAGGATGGAAACAGTGAAGAAGATGAAGCTAATTTGTTTCATGATCCTCTACTTGGATGGTTCTGAGAATATTTATCGAGAAAGTAAAGAAGAAACGAGAAATACAGATTTTTAGTCTAATTTAATGATTAAAAATCAGATCACGTAAGAAAATGAGATGAATTCATGTCATTTAAATAACAATTTATTAGAAAAGGATAGAAACGAAATAATTTTGTTTATTTGCAGTTGGCCCATCAACAAATCGACAGAAACGTTATCCCAAAGCAAAAACGTGTTAGCGACGGCGATTGGCCTTAAGGCGCGTGATAGCGCTCACCGAGGTCGCCGCCGGGAACCACCCGATTGCCTTAGCCCAGCCGGAATGTAAACGATCCACCCATTAATCGAAGAAATTAAACCAAAAAGAAATCTATAATTCTCCATTTGAGTTTGTGCGCGCCAAAATTGAAAGAGATAGAGAGAGAAACAGAGAGAAAGAGTTTGATCTCACCATCCCTCCATGAAACTCGGTCCACTACTCTGTTGCTGAGGCGGCGGCTGCTGAACGTACTGAGGCGGCGGATAACCCCCCGGCGGCGGGTATCCTCCCGCCGGATAACCCTGAGCCGGATATCCCGGTGGCGGGTAGGCGTCCTTCTCGTTCCCGTACCCGTACGGATAACCTAATCAAATTCCACATAAAAAAACCATCAGATTCGAAATCTTTACCAATCCTGATCTCACGAACCACACAAAACCCTAGAAATCAAATCAATCCAAGATCGCAAGATCAAAATCCATCACCTTGCGGCGGAGGAACTCCAACGGGCGGTTGCTGCTGGTTATAACTCATCTCGATCACGTCGGCGGCGAACGGCGACAAAAATTCTTCTCGGAGCTGAAATCGATAGGAAGAACTGTTTCGGTTCTTCTGAATTGGGGGCCTCTCTTCTTTTATAGTGGAGAGAAGTTTAAAAAAATTAAATTTAAAATTAATATAAGGGAAGCTTCGACCCGGCCCGGCTCGGCCCGCGGTAAAACCGTGTGGATCCTTAGAGGCCAAGGAAGCGTGGGGTTACGGCGCATGCGGGCTTCCGCGTGGCAGTTGCGTTATTTTGTTACTTGGGGAGGTGTCCAAGTTGGATATTATTATATAAAAGGAAAATTTTCTTAATAAGAAAAGGACAGTAATTTTTTTTAGTAAATAAAAAATTTAATTTTATTATTGAGGATAAGTTGTTTTTTCAATAATAGTACAGAATGATTTGAAAATGGCAAATCTCAATATTCTTTTACAGTAAATATTCACCGGACTGCAAATATTTATTTGAGATGGTTTTAGCATTTTGTAAGCAAATTTGGTTGGGATAATTTTTTTGTTGTTTTATTTTTAATATTGTAATTATAGTTTTATTAACAGTTCTTTTT